GCTGTAGCTGCTGCTGTTGCTGCTGCAGCTGCTGCTGCTGCCGCTGGAAGCTCTCCAGCTGCTGGATTAGGTAAAGATTGTGCTGCTGCAGCCGCTCGTTTTCCTTCAGTACTTCATCGTAGCGCTGCTGCTGCTGCTGTAGCAGCTGCTGCTGCTGCCGCTGCTCCTCCTGCTGTTGGTAATGCTGCTGCTGCTGCTGCTGCAGCGGGTGGCTATGTGCCTGAAGCTGAGCAGGACTCATCGGAGAGAGGGGCCCCTGCTGCAGCGGGGCCCCCTGCTGCAGCGGGGGCCCCTGCTGCTGCAGGGGCCCCTGCTGCTGCAGGGGCCCCTGCTGCTGTGGGGGTCCCTGCTGCTGCGGGGGCCCCTCTGGGGGGCCCCCCTGCTGGTCGAGGGTGAGGTGGTTGTGCAGCAGCAGCTGCAGCTTGAGGTGGAGGAAGTCTGCGAGGTCTAGCAGCTGCTCGACAGCAGCCTTGTTGCTGCAGCTGTCTGCTGCTGCTGCTGCTGCTGCTGCTGCCTTGTGCTTGGCGTCGAAGGCAGCCACAGTCGAGCTCAGCCGGGTGTACAGACACCGCAAATCTGCTGCTAATTGCATGCGGCTCTCTTCTGCTGCTCTCAGCCGCTGCCGAGTGCAGCAAAGGCAGTCCGAGAGGTCTCTGTTGCTCTTCACCACGCCCAGCAGCTCCCGCTGCAGCTCCTGCAGCGCAGCAGTCAAGGGCTGAGCAGCAGCAGCAGCAGCAGCAGCAGACGGCAACGCCCGTGTATACAGATACACGCGGTGAGCAAAGACACACAGCAAAATCAACTTAGAAACGACGGCAGGGAGAGGTACAATGACTGCAGCAGCAGCTGCAGCAGGGCTGCTGCCGCTTCTGCTGCTGCAGCTGCTGCTGCAGTTGTTGCTGCTGCCAATCATACCTCGTTCGGGGACTTGTGCGGAGTAGAAAGGGGCGGAGGCCCCGCCTTGAGCTTATCTGCTGCCTCGAGGGGCACTGCAGAGCTCTTGGTGTGCAGCTCCATTTTGTGAAGACCCGTGCCGCTGCTGCTGCTCCTGCTGCTGCTGTTGCCGTTGCTGCTCTCGGTCCCTCTGCGGCAGCTGCTGCTGCTGCTGCGGCTGTTTCTGCTTTTGCTGCTGCTTCTGCTGCGTGTGCACCTGACCCGCCTCACAGCTACACGCGCAGCTTGCTGCTTCGCTCTGCGGCCTCAGCTGCTGCTTGTCTGGCCAGACTCATGCTGCAGTTGTTTGCACATTTGTTAAAAAGTCATTTGGGGCCCCCTAGGGCCTTTAAATTCAATGAACTTGGGGGGCCCCTGCCGCTGCTGCTGCTGTGGCTTCGGCGGCTGCTGCTGCGCTCTGTCAGTGGTGGGCTGCTGCTGCAGCAGCTGGGCCTTCAGCGGCCTCTCTGGCTGCAATTGAGATAAAGCTACGTGCAGATGAGTCTTAAAATGCAAAAAGTGCTGCAGACAAAGCAGCAGACAGCTGTCTGCTGCGGCTGGTCTTGAGGGCGGCTCACAGCAACGCCAGCGGCGTTGGGGCTGCTGCCTGCTTGGCCCCAGTAGCTGCAGCTTTCAGGATTATTTACAAATAAAAGCAATGCAAAGAATAGTACGATTTTCATGCAGGCGAGCTGCGGTGTGGCTTGCAGCACTAACAGCAGCAGCAAGACCGCCAGCAGCAGCAGCAGCAGCAGCAGCAGCAGCAGCGATGTATCGGAGCCTTCTCGGTGCTGCGGAACAGCAGCAGCAGCCACTAAGAAATTATTTTAAGGTCCTTCTAATTAATCAATTATTTCAATTTTCACACATCTCTTCTTCATCGAAACAGCAAAAGACACCCGCGGATTAGCACAACTAGGCTGCTGCCTGGCAGTAGCAGCAGCAGGTGCTCCTGCTGCTGCTGCAGCAGCTGCTGCTGCAGCTGCTGCAGCTGATGCTGCGCGAGCATTGCTCCCCACACGCCACAAGTGCACGCTCCGGAAGGCGAAAAGTAAATTTACGAATTGGTGCTGCACCACAGGTGCCGCCGGCGTCTGCAGCACGAGGGAGAGCAGCAGCAGCAGCAGCAGCAGCAGCGCCTTCCGCTGTTGAAGAAGATGGCGCAGTCAGTGCGGGACCGCGTCGCAGCTGTGTCGCCTCTCTTCGAGGACATTTGCAGCAACATCTGCCGCAGCGGGAGCGGCAGCAGCAGCGGCAGCACTGACGCCGCTGAAGCCGCCAGCAGCAGCAGCAGCAGCAGCAGCAGCGGTGTCCTGTTTCTTGGCTCCGGGGGTTCCGCTTCCATCCCTCAACTAAATCATATTCTTTCTCTGTCCGACCCCTCCCACCCTTACCACCTTGTGGCCAGGCGTGCAGCCCCGCCGCCGCCGCTGCAGGAGCTGCAGCAGCAAGCGGTCCTCTATCGGCAACACCTCAAGCAGCAGCAGCAGCAGCAGCGGCAGCAGGAGCAGCAGGCGAAGCAGGGAGCCCTCGCCAGCGACGGCGGCAGCGCCTTGGGCGGCGCAGCCGCCCCCGCAGCAGCAGCAGCAGAACCCGCAGCAGCAGCAGCAGCAGCAGCAGCAGCAGCGGGCCTGGAAGGCCGCGCGCTGGAAGTTGCTGCTCGCGACTCCCGCAATGCTGCATGCGCCACCTGCTTGAGGGCTTTGCTGTGTCCCGAAGGACCCAACAAAAGAAGAAACATTTCGCTGCTGCTGCAGCTCGAGGGGCAGCAGCTGCTGATAGACTGCGGCAAGACCCTCAGGGACTCCCTCGTCACTTTCGGCTGCGCATACAATGTACGGTGCGCCCTGCTGCTGCTGCTGCTGCTGCTGTTGGTAGCGCACCCTGTAGAAGGGAGGATTGCTCGGCTGCTGCTGCTGCTGCTGCCGCTTCTGCTGCTGTTCGAAGCGCACTCTGTAAAAGGCAGGAATTCTGGGCTGCTGCTGCTGTAGCTGCTGTTGGAAGCGCACCCTGTAGAAGGGAGGTGCTCTAGTCTGCTGCTGCTGCTGCTACTTCCGCCGCTGCCGCTGCTGCTGCTGCTGCTGCGCGTGTAGCAGCAGCGGGAGCATTTGTAGATGCACTTGGCTGTCGGGATGCTTTGCAGATGTGTTGAGGACGTGCGTACGGTAGTTGCTGCTGTTGCTGCTCCCTCTGCTGCTACCAGCGAGGCGCTGGCGGTAGCCGCTGCAGCTGATCAGCCGGTTGCTGCTTCTGCTGCTGTTGCTGCTGCTGCTGCAGCTGAGCTGTGTAGACGCTGTGTTCTTGACCCACGACCACATGGACGCCATTGGGGGCCTCGACGATCTGAGAGATCTGCAGCCATTTGACAGGCCCACGTTTGCGTGTCCGCCGGCAGTGGCAGCAGCAGCAGCAGCTGCAGCGGGGCCCCAAGCAGCAGCAGCAGAAGCAGCAGCAGCAGCAGCACAGGACCGGCAAGACTGCCGCTGGTACGCCCCCAAAAACTGGCTTTGCTGCTTCATGGGGGCCCGCACTTTTGCTTCCATTTCCCGTGGTTATTCTTACCTGCTGCGGCCGTTCTTGGAGCGCTGCAGCAGCAGCAGCAGCAGCAGCAGCAGCAGCAGCGCCTCCCCAGCAGCAGCAGCAGCAGCTGCAGCAGACGCAGAGGGCATTGTCAGCAGGACTGAAGACGGAGAGTTCGCCGTCACAAACAAAGGCCGGCTGCTGCTGAGGCGCAAAGTTGCATGCATTGATTTCCGTATCCTTAATGACACTGTGCTGCCTGCTGCTGCTGCTGCTGCTGCAGAGGCTGCTGCTGCTGCTGTTGCGAAAGCCGCAGGGGAGACTCTGAAGGAAGCTGCAGCAACTCAAGGCATACCCCGTCTGGCAGCAGCGGCTGCGGCTGCGGCACCCCCAGCAAGGCCCGCAGACGCAGCAGCAGCAGCAGCAGATGCTCAACTCAAGGTGGAGCCGATTGACTCTTGGGGTTTCACGAGGCTGCGAGTCCCTGGTAAGCAAAAGCAGCACGCCTTAAGTGCAGGAGCTGTAGCTGCTGCTGCAGCTGCTGCTGCAATGACTCCAGCAGCAACTACAGCAGCAGCAGCTGCTGCAGTGACTCCAGCAGCAACTACAGCAGCAGCTGCAGCTACAGCAGCAGCTGCTGGAGCCACAGCAGCAGCAGGTGCAGCTACAGCAGCAGCAGCTGCATTTACAGCAGCAGCGGCTGCAGCCACAACAGCAGCTACAGCAGCAGCAGCAGCAGCTGCTGCTGCAGCAGGAAGGAAGGTATTTGGTATGTGTGTGTTGGCTCAGGTTTGCAAATGCCCATCTTCTCCTTCCCCATATACCACGGGGGCTCTTATGTTTGTTTGGGACTTGTGGCTTTGGGCCTGGAGCCCTTCTTGCTGCTGTCCGACGTCACTGCTGTGCCCCCCGTGGTCCTCGAGCGGCTGCTGCAGCTCCCGAAGCCCGAGGTGCTGCTGCTGCTGCTGCGTCTGTTGCTGCTGCTGCGGCCGTTGCTGCTGCTGTGGCTGTTGTTGCTGCTGTGGCTGTTGCTGCGGGTGCTGGTGGTGCTGACAGCGACGCGGGCGCTGGCGGTGATGCTGCTGCTGCTTGTGTTTGTGGGGTCGCAGCTGCTGCATTCGCTGCTGCTGCTGCTGCCGCATTTGCTGCTGCTGTTGCTGCGTTTGCTGCTGCTGCTGCGCAGGTGCTGATTCTGGACGCTATAGGGGAGCGGCCGCACGCAGCGCACTTTTGCCTGCAAGAGGCGCTGGACTTGGGCGTGCTGCTGCAGCCGCGGCGTTTGCTGTTTGTGGGAATGGACTGCTGCTTAGAACACAAAATGACAAATGAAAGGCTGCAGCAGTGGCTGGCAGCTCACCGGGAGGTGTACAGACAGGTGAGAGGAACTGATAGCAACATTCAAGAAGTGCGCCTTGCCCACGACGGCCTCTACCTCAGCTTCCGTGGGTCGGCTGTTGAAACGCCGCTTTGCTGCAGCAGCAGCTGAGCTGCTGCTGCAATGCGGCGCACTATTGCCAGCCGCGCTGCTGCAGCAGCAATGCAGCAGCGAAGCAGCTGCCGCAAGTGCGGCAGCTGCTTGTCGGCTCGTCTTCTGCAGCGGCAGCAGCAACGGCGGTCCGCGAGCACGCGCTCAGCAGCAGAAGCTGCAACCAGCTGACACTGTGTATTTGCAAAAAGAAGTGCTGCCAAAATGCTGCCAAAAGCTGAAAATAGCTGGCGGCCGCACCGGCAGCGAATGCCCGCAGTGAAGATCTTCGGAGGCGCGGGCTCGCCGTGGCGTTGTGTTGGCTGTTTCGAATTGAATCCATTCTGTGTCTGTTCTTTTTGAATTTGACTGTTTCTTTGGCTACACTAAACTGTGTTTGTGCGCCACAGAGTGAACAAAATGTTTCTATCGAAGCAGTATGCCGCATTAAAGTTGTGTGTTCGTTTCTGAATTGTGCGGGTCAACTAAACGAAGAAAAGTTCAGTGAGCAGGAAGAGGCTGGGACAAACTTCCCTGCTGCCCTTGGCCCATTCGCGTACACGAAGTGGTTTCTTTGTCCCTCATATGGCATTTGTTGTATTTTTGGCCTCGGCGTCGCTGCTTCGGGGCCCAGGCAAACTTCCTGGGAACCTTTGCTGCGCACGCGGCACTGAACCTGGACCGACACTTTGAAGCAGCAGCAGCTACAGCAGCTAGCTGCTCACAGTGCCAACTCGGAAAAGCTAGCCAGCCACTCAGCCGAAGCTCGCTAGCCATGGTTTGCGTCGCTAGTCACGACACTGCCACCAGCCCATCATGAAGTTGGGACCAGCGGTTCCTGCGTGACCACTTGTGCCCGCGTGTCAGTGGCAGCAGCATTCTCTGGTGCTATTGCCGGCACTTGTGCTGCTGCTGCGGGAGGCGCTGCCAGGGTTGCCTGCTGCTCCGTTGCTGCGCTGCTGGGAGAAGCCGGCGTGGGTGCAGGGGAAGCTGGGTAGTCCGTGGTCTCCCCCGTGGCAGCGCTGGAGACGGAAAACAGAAGAGTGTTGTTCTCACTCTTGACTGTCACAGTGTCCAGCTCCTGCAGGCTGCCCTGCAGCAGCAGCTGCGCTATGCGCGTTTCCACCAGCCTTTGAATCAGGCGCTTCAACGGGCGAGCCCCGTACGCGGGGTCGTAGCTGAGCAGCACAAGTAGAAGTAACTGACACAGATGCAGCCGAAGCAAAGGCGAGGAAGACGCGGCAAGCAGAGATGACGAGGACGCGGCCACAGCCAAAGTAAACAAGCACAAGAGGCCCCACAAGAAGCCAAAGACTGATACATCAGCTTACTCAGTCAGCGGAAGTCAACAAACACAAGGTCCCAGACAAGAAGCCAAAGAGATGGACACAATGGCTTACACACTCAGAGGCAGTGACAAATAGGTGGACACACACAATCGGAAACACAGAAACGAGAAACACCAACAAAGCCCAATCCACGAGTGGCTTCACATGCCATGATGTGCCCATATGCAAGCGCATACAGTTCTCCACCTGCCGCAGATGAGCAGTTCACATATGCATGATAGCGGGAAGCAGCAAAAGGCTGCTCTACCCAGAGCTGTCCATCATCTTCAGCCTCATGCAAAGGAAAACCAAAACCTGAACAGAAGCTCAACGGAACCCCACACAGATGCAACTTACCCTGTGTCTGCCAGATGAACCAGGGCCGACTCGTCCACTTTAAGCTTGATCTTCTTTTCCAACAAGCGATCCGCCACACGCTCCATCTCCAACCGTACAACCTCCTTGATTTCTGCAAAGTGACGCACAGCAACTCCAAGGATCTTAGCTCAGCTCACTGAATGTTTATATAAATGGTGCACGACTACGCGCAAGTGAATGTACGCATATATACGTATGTATAAATCTAGTAAGCATTCTGCTTTGAAAGCACGTATTTGTATAAGCACGTTAAGAAGCGAATGCGTGCTTTCACACGCACAAACATTTGCCTTTATGAGTTCTATATTTTGCCTACGTTGTTTGGTGAGGGCGTCAAACACAACGAACTCATCGATGCGGTTGTAAAACTCTGGCCGTAAAGTGTCACGCACTGTCTGCATGACTTTCCTGCGGTCAAACAACACCAGTGCAAAAGCCCCAAGACCCGCCCCTAATCCACAGGGGGCACTGGTAACCCCTTAAACCCTTTCCTTCCTGTATACCCATAGACATGACTAGGCGGACACAAAGAGCGCGTCGCCAATGGCCTCAGATTCGCCTTTGCTGCGCCATAGGCTCTCGAGGGGTACAAAAGACTGCCTCGGCCTGCGCTGCCTCGCAATGGAGGCAAATGTTTCTCCATCTTCGGCAAATAAGCAAAACGCTCCGGGTGTAAGCGCACCGGAGCACATGCAGTGTCAACAGCAATCCAAACGCATCAAATAAACAAAGGCAGGCAGACATGATTAAGTCCTCAAAAATGCACTCCACCTATAAACCCTATATTCTAGGCTCTGCGTTCACACGACGAAGTAACGCAGAACAAAAGTTTCGGAGCACAGCCCGACCCTCCAGCCTACATGCAACTACCAGAAAGACTGACCGTCTTCAACACCTACTTTTCAACAGCTTGTTTCTTAGAGGGGTCCCCAGCGCTTTCAAGGAGAGCATCTGCGCCTATGTTTGAAGTAAAGATCACGACACAGTTTCTGAAATTAACCACGTTGCCCTTGCTGTCCGCCAGTCGGCCTTCGTCCAGCAGCTGCAGCAACACGTTGAATATCTCTGGGTGGGCCTTCTCCCTGAACTCGAAGACACAGAAGGCAGCCAAAACCATCTAAATAGGTTTGGAACCCATCAGCCGCACCTAGCATGGCGTGCACCTGCAACTATGACAAGCCTTTTGCATTGGCTAAGAAAAGAGGGAAAGTGCAGAGAAGCAACACGTATGCGTGCTGCTTCAGCTGGTCCACCAATTTGCTGACGGTCCCCATTCACGGGTGCTTGCGCAATGGAGCTGTTAGCCTTACATCTCATCAAAAAGAATGACAGAATATGGCTTCTTGCGGACAGCATCAGTTAACTGTCCTCCCTGCTCGAACCCCACGTAGCCAGGTGGAGCCCCAATAAGTCGAGATACACTGTGTCTTTCCATGTACTCGCTCATATTTATCCGCACAATCGCATCCTCTGCAGCAGCAAAAATTGACACCGACAAGCAGCATCCGCGTACCAAACTCCCACGCCCCAAACTCAAAAGCGTCCAGACTACAGGAAGCCTCGCATTTAGTAAGCGTGTGAGGAGTTCCTCTGAAGGTTTTAGAGGCAGGAGCTGGGAATGGGCAGAGTCAGCAGAGTAGCAGCAACAGGACTTGGGTCTGCCCTTTCAGTAACACTCTACTGTTGTTCGCACGCTGCATAGCAGTCTGCCCGCTCTGGAGATGTGCCTCAGCCTGCGGTTCTTTATCCCTGGTGTCTGCCTCTTTCCCGTCTCAACAAATTTCATTAAAGTTGCTCCTGCAGCAGAGGCAGTCTTCCACTCACCCGAGGCAAAGAGGGCCTCCGCGAGGGCCCTGCAGAGCTCCGTCTTGCCAACGCCAGTGGGGCCCAGGAAGAACAAAGAAGCAATCGGGCGGTTCGGGTCGTTGAGGCCTGCGCGGGATCTTTGGATGGCCTCCGCCACCGCAGAAACCTAAACACCGCGCGCACCGCCACAGTGGCAAGTGGCACGAAACTCTCTTGCCACCAGGCGCCAGAGGCAGAACAAAACAATAATCTGGCGCAGATAATAATGCAGTATATAGAGGCATGAACATAACGCAAAAATGGGCTCGCCGGGAGACAAAAATACAGGAAAAAAGAGTTGTTTTCCACTGTGCCTCTGCAATTCTCGAAACGCAGTGTATTCCAGGCAACCCATTTGTCTAAATTGATAATTACAAGTGAGACAACGAAAAGATGCAACAAATACGGAACATACTGCTTTATCTTGGGCTATAATACGCTCATGCAGTCGATCTTTAAGGTTCAAAAGCTTCTCCCGCTCAGACTCCTTCAGCCTAGTCAGTGGGATTCCTGTCCAAACCGCCACTACCCCAGCTATATCATCTGCCGTCACTTCGTCCCGCAGCAGACGCCGGCCCTCTGCATGCGCCGCCTTATACTGCGCCTCCGCCTCTTGCAATTGCCGCTGCACAAGCACCCAGCCACGTCAACAAACAACCGCTCTGTAATACTAGATTCAAACAATTAAGCAAGGCGACTTTAGCAGCAAGAACGCACAAAAAGAAACAATAACACTCACGCCGCTGAAATCGCTTTCATGCTCTGACAAGCTAAGCATTGCAAGCTTCCTGGTGCATGCCGTTCAGCAGCAGAACCATCATAAGCAGCTGCAACAAGACGAAAAGGGTTGTTTACCTCAAGATCAGGCAGAGTCTCGAATCGAAGTTCTGCTGCTCTGTTGAGGTCAAACTCTCTCTCTGCCCTTTCAACCTCTACCTTGACGACGTCAATGCGTTCCTTAATTGCTCTTATAGCATCCACTTGACTCTTTTCTTTGTTCCAGGCGTCGGTAAGCGTCGCCTGAATTCCAGACAAACCAAAACACGGGCAAGCAGCAAGTTGTGAGCAGGGTCACTGACAGCTGCAACAGTAGAAGCCTCGCACCAATGTAGCAAGGAGAAACAGCAACGAACAAACGCAAGCATATAATTTCAAGCACAACTGGAAACAGAAACGTGAGGGGCACCACAATCAAATGCAAGGGAAGGGACAACAACAAGCCCACAAACACAAGCATCGCAGGCACACGGTGTGCGCAAAATCGCGTGAATGCGACTGGCAAACACAAAGAAGAATTGACACGCACTACGATAGACCACAATGAGCAACAAGACACGCACGCAAACAATGGGAAAATAGAAAATAATACCTGTTGCGCCTGCAATCTCTCAATTTGACTCTCCACCGCCCGGAGGCGTAGCTTCTCTTGCTCATCCAGGGCTCTGGCCTTGCTGTCTCCCAAGATTGAGATGCGCTCCATTTCCAGCTGCAGCAGCAGCCTGTCCAGCCTATCCAACTGTATGGGTTTGCTGCTCACTTGGATCTTCAGACGTGCAGCCGCTTCATCCACAAGATCGATCGCCTTATCCGGCAAGAAGCGATCCCTGGAGCGGCAAATACGCATTAAAGCACCACTTTAAGAATCAGCAGCACGAATTCACCAAATGCCTGCGGCATCACCAAACCCTGAACTGCAGGCAGAACAGCCAGAAGCCGTCAGTCAGTTCCTTCGCAGCCAGCAACTTGAGCCCCCATGCGCAGCAAAAACAAGAGCTGGTCTTGCCATGACTCGCCTACACGTTGGGTGCAAGAACGTACGCACGCCACTAAGCCTTCAGAGACAAAAGATGCCTATCTCGTCCTGTTTAGTGAATATATTTGAGTTCCACATCCGGGTGGCCGCAGCCGCCCCATGGTATAACTCTCTACTTCTAGCACAGCTGCCTGCATGCCCCACCCTGGCCCAGCATATGGCTACAACAAAGTCTCACGTGATGTAGCGGCTCGCGAGGTTGGCTGCCTCCACGAGTGCAGAGTCCAGAATACGGACACCGTGATGAACTTCATAGCGCTCCTTTAGGCCTCTGAGAATGCTCACTGTCGCCTCCACCTGAGGCTCGTCTATCTGCAGTCCGCAACAGCAAGCAAGGCGAAGTCATTATGAGCACATGCGCGGCATCAATGAAGAAACAGAAACCCCTAAAAAAGGTACGAGGGCACTTCACAGCCTTCACACGCTAGCTGGGGCCGGAGAGGACCCAACATGGCAGGGCCCCGCAAAAATCCCGATATCCATTAAAAGACTTGCACCATCATAGAATGGCTGTCTGCTGTGTACATTCGCTGCTGCCTTCTATATATTTCGGCCAAAAGCCCCAGTCTTAGGCCATGCAGCCTCTTGTACAGTCAGCTACTTCTAAGGGGGCGGGACGCACCAGGACGCGCTGGAATCGCCGCTCAAGGGCCTTGTCCTTCTCAATATGCTGGCGATACTCTTGCGTGGTTGTCGCCCCGATGCAGCGAAGCTCTCCTCTTGCTAGGAGGGGCTGAGGGAACAAACAAACAGCAGGCAGATATAATTAGAAATAGGCACACGCGAACACCACGACTCTTGCTAAAAGGACAACGTCGTGAACATCAACATGGCTCCTACAAACCAAGGGAGGAGAGGTCACTGGAAGGAATGACGCTTGCAGACAGTTAACGCCCGTGTCTTCGAAGGAGAAATCCAAGATCAACAGTGGCATAACTTTGAGAAAAAGATGAGACTGGATGTAAAAAAGCTGTTAGCGAGACGAAAAGGACTTTGTGGCGTTGCTGTGAATGCTTTAACTATCCAGCTAAGCGAGACAATTACATAGCAACGAGGCACACAATAGCGGGACTGTTACCTTCAGAAGATTGCCTGCATCCATAGCGCCTTCTGATGAGGCCCCTGCGCCGACAACCGTGTGGATCTCATCAATGAAAAGGACGACGTCGCCCTCGGCGTCCTGCACGTCCTTCAACACGGTCTTCAGCCGCTCTTCAAACTCACCGCGGTACTTAGACCCTTTACAAAACAAACAATGGCACGTAATAACAAGCTAAACCGCTGGCTAGTTGCCAGCGAAGCGCCTAGCCTATAGAGCTACTTGCCAACAAGGCTACAACCCCTCCTGCCCCGGATTTATCCGCTGAACACACCACCGGGACTGTGGCCAGCAGCAACAGTAGCACTACTGAAAGCAGCACGGGCAACAAAGGAAAGCTAGCGAGCAGATGGCTTACCGGCAACAAGTGCGCCCATGTCCAGTGCGAGCACGCGCCTGCCTTTGAGTGAGTCCGGGACATCTCCAGATACGATCCTTTGGGCGAGGCCCTCAACAATGGCTGTCTTGCCAACACCAGGGTCTCCTAACAGTATGGGGTTGTTCTTAGTTCTCCGTGAAAGAATCTGAATCACTCGCCGTATCTCGTCGTCTCTGCCCACCACAGGGTCCAGTTTGCCAGCTCTTGCCTCCGCCGTCAGATCTTTCGAATATCGCTCCAAGGCCTGGTAAGCCTGGATAAGGAAACAAATGAAGGTGGAGGCAGAGGAACTAACGCATCAAAAAGTTATTCTTAATATTCTCTCATGAAAGAACAGACTAAAAGGAAAACGTGTTTCCCCACACGGGCGGGCAGTTACGCATCTTGCAAACGATGCAACTGGTCCTGCCACCGCTGCTGCTGCAGCGAAAGTCATGCCGCTCCTGCCATCTCAGGCTCGCCCGCTTCTTCCTGCCTATCTGCCTGCTAGCTTTCCTGTTCTTGTAGCTGCAAGAGTAGAGTGTAAGTGAGCCTGCTACTGAAGACAATTTGGCTCACCATCTCGGGGTTCTTAGTATTGACCCTCTTCTTACCCCGCACCTCCACCACCGCCTCTTTGATTTTGTTGAAACTCACGCCTTGCCTTTGAAGCGCTGGCCGGAGGAACTTCGCGTCCTCCGCAGCCAGACCCAGCAGCAGGTGCTCCACAGACAGGTACTCATCCTACAACACAAGTAGCAACAGCAGCATCAGCAGCAGCATCAGCAGCAGTTCCAGAAGCCACAGCACAGCTCCAATTGTGGCGGCCACGCAGACAAACACGCGGACAGCAGACACTGGAAGCGCCTGTGGGGCGGTCGTAACAGGAACAGGGGAGGAGGCAGCACTTAGGAGCAGCAGCAGCAGCAGCAGCAGCAGCAGCACGGGTGGAGGCAGCCCCTGGCCTTACTCTGAACTCCCTCTTAAAACGCTGCGCAGAGGCAAGGACCTGTTGCAGCCCCCTGCCCAGGACCTTCTGGTCGCCAAAGCCCAGCGCCATTCGCGGCTGTCTTTCTAGGTGTCTCTCCACCTCCTCAGTGAGCTTCTCCACAGAAACCCCAGCGCGGCTTAAGACGCGGTGGGCCAAACCCTCAGGGCCATCCTGCAGCAGAGCTGCGCAGCAGCACACCCGGGGAGCCGCAGCAGGCGCGCCCTCAGCAGCAGCGGCAGCTCGCGGGCAGCCCGCAGCAGCAGCAGCAGCGCAGCAGCAGCCTGGAGCAGCTGCAACCTACCCAGCAACAGCATCTCCGCCTCCACGTAGGCCGACTCGTGCTTGTCCGCTATGGACCCCAGGGCCCCCATCGCCTCCCAAGCCTTTTCAGTGTAGTCGCTGGCGTCGAGGACCAGCCCATCATCTCCTGCACGGAGAGGCCCCACCCCTGCTGCTCCCTCAGCCCCCACTTGCTGCCACATGCACCCGTACCAGCTGGCGTGGGCCCCGGGGCCCCCCCTGCCCTTCTCCAGAGAAGAGTCGAGGGGCCCCTCATAGCTGGTGAAGCGAGAGGCCCCCACTTCCCGCCGGCTGCTGCTGCTGCTCTCGCTGCTGCTGACCGATTTGCTGCGGGGAACGCCCCGAGAAAGAAAGCTGCGCAGGGAACCTGTAGAAGCAAAGAAGCAAGAGGAGCACTTGCCTTCTACTCCCGTCAATGCCACATAAATGGCCCCAATAATAAAAGAAATATATATGCAACGATAATATATATATTTGTATGTACAGATAGAGACAGCTTGCTGTAGGTGGAACCAGAGCAGACGAAACCTCTATACCATGTTGTGTCTTTCCAAAGCCAAGAGAATCGACAAGCTAAATAGATAAGGACGTATATTACTGCAGAGTCCGCAGACCTACAATAGCACACGCTGTACCCTCTAACCTCCCACAATTCTATATTAGTTCTGCATTCATTCAAGTGCCTTCAGTGCTCTGTCAACTGTCAGCTTCTGAGAGGCAGCATAGGAAAAGCCCCTGTGGCTGTTCTGCATATTTTGGCCTCTGTGTGCTGGCCTCTGTGTCCATCTCGCTCTGGGGCTTCGCCCCTGTGTGCCCCCTGCTGCCCCTGAGCCTCTCTTTTTGCTTACCTCCGGGGAATCCGATGAAGCCGAAGAATGGAGAAGAGTTGTCTTGGGCCAAACCCACAGCCCCCTGGAAGAGAACCAGCAGCAGCAGCGTCGGCAGCAGCAGCAGCGGCGGCCGCCCCATAAGTCGCCCCTTCGCGGCGCTCATGACGGCCTATCACAAGGAACGCGCGGGCTGAGAAGGGGCAAACTATTCAGTCCGGGCCAATTGACTTCACACTGAAATCAGGAGCAACCAGCGTCTGCTGCTGGTGCTGCTGCTGCTGCCGCCGCTGACGCCTGCAACTTAAAAAAAGAACCTCCTGGCCTCTTCCCGTGCCTATCTGTCCTCCTTCCATCCGTTTGGCTTTACACTCAACAGATGGGGCCCCCGAGACATGGGAACAACCCACCCCAAGACCTGAGGAAGGGGCCCCACAACGAGCACCAGCGAGACACAGGGGACACCACTGGGGGGCCTCCCCCTTTTGCGTTGTGCTTGTTTAATTAGCAGTTAAATGAGCATTTATTTCGCATGCATCGATGAATAGAAAGGGACAAAGGGCCAGCGCCGCTCAGCAGCCTGCCCTCCCCACAAGGCCAGACCCTGTCCTCAGGGCCTGGCGCGGCTGAGAAGCGGGCCCCCGAAAAAGGAAAGGTAGGGATTGGCCTCGCAGGCCATTCTGATATCTTCTTTCTAAACGTTTAAAGGCTTTTGCAGCACACGGGGGTGTGCGACACAGTTTTTACTCCGCGTGTAAGGGATCTTCGCATCGGAGGGGCGGCTGGGGCCGCCGCAGCAACCGCAGCATGATCAGCAGAGGCTGCATCGGCAGCAGCACACGACAGGAAATCCAAGACCTGGGAAAACAGCAGCAGAAATCGTTAGAGGGCCGCCTGAAGGCCCCCTAACGCATCTAGGGGAACCGCCTCAAGGCCCCATGCAAGAAGAAGTGACCCCGTGCTGCAGGGCCCCCCCCCAGTCGGGCGGAGGACAAAAGGAGGCGAAGGGAAAAGAACAAGAAGTCTCTTCCCCTCGATTGCCTCGTGGAGGCCCAGTCCACCCTTTAGAAGGCCCTCTGCCGCCTTGGCTGTCTACATGCGTCACCGAGCTGCTTGCCCCTCCCTGTCGTGTCTGCGAGGTAGCAGTATTGCCGTGTCAAGAGTTTCTGGCGGTCTGCCCCCAACAGTCCCATGTGACCAGTCGTCCACTGCAGCCGGCGGGGGGAGCCGCTCCCCAGCTGCAGGCGCCTGCTGAGGGCACGGGAAGGCAGCGGGAGGCCGATCGCCTACATAAGGCACATTCTCGGGGTCAGGGGCCCCCTGAGTCTTCCCGTAACACATTTGCAGGAGAAAAACACTCAAAGAATGCCTCTATTGCTCTGCTTTCCGCCCACGGGCCTGCACATGGCGTGCTGTGCTCCCCGGCAGAAATGGGCACAGGGAATCCATTAGAAAAGCCTGCTGAGTCGTTTGGAGAAGTTGAGGAAGTGGCCCTGGCTCTGTGCGAGTGCATTCTCTTTCGACTGCATGCAGCTGCCCGGGGGGCCCTTAAGCCATTTCTCACAGAACCCTCTCTGAACCAGCAAGGGCCCCCCCCCGGCTCTTCGCTGCTTCCAGTGGGCCCCTGCAGGCTGCTGCTGACACTTACAGGCGATGCCCATGTAGGATATAGTGCTGCTGAGATGCGCTTGCTGTCGCTGCAGCAGCAGGAGGCGCTTCAGGGGCCGCAGGGGCCCGAAGCCTGTCTGCTGTTGAGGGAGCCCAAAGCAGCAGCCACGCCCTCAGCAACGGCTGCAGACGCAGCAGCAGCAGCAAGAGGAATAGCAGAGCGTGCATCGGCGCCAGCCTGTGCGCAGCAGCACTGGGCTGCTGCTGCTGCTGTCGCCAGTGTTCTCGAAGAGCTGCGGGCCTCACGCCTGCCGCTGCTGCTTCACCCAAAAGGCGCCGAGCTGTGGGCTCTCAGGCGCCAGCAGCTGCTGATGTGTGTCCGCCTCCTGATGCAGCGGCAGCAACAGCAGCAGCAGCCCAAGGCGCCTGGGCTGCTTCAGCCACAAACCACCGCGGCAGCTGCAGCAGCGGGTAGAGATGCTGAGCCGGACTTGCAGCGCGAGATCCGTTGGCTGGTGAAGGCAGCTTCGCAGGGCCTGGGGTGGCATCAGCCGCAATTTGACATAAGGCAGCAGCAGATGAAGCAGCAGCAGGATTTGCTGCTGCTGCTTCTGAGGTGCGAACTGGGCTTTTCGCTGTGGCACCTCAGGGTCCGCAGCCACAGCTACCAAGCAGCCGAACATGCCCACAGGGTGCTGCAATTCTTCCAAACCGAAGCGTTGAAAGCTGCTGCTGCTGCTGCAGTGATAGACAGCGCCACGCTGCTAGGGAATGCAGTTTCTGTTGAGCAACAGGGGGAAGTTTCTTTTGGTTCACATTGCCTCGCGCATGAAGTGAAGACGGAAGAAATGCTTTTCTGGAAATATGTTTGCCAAACTATACCGTCCCACTTCGCCGGTGGGCACCAGCTGCTGCGGCTGCTCTCTGTGGACTTGCAACAGTTGCTGCAGCAGCAGCTGAGGCAGCAGCGTGCTGATGCAGCACCGCTGCAGCCCTCTTGGATTGTTAAGCAGCTGCGTGTGGAAGGCGCTGCTGCCTCACGGGCTGCCGAAACAGCTGAAGAAGGAAGGCGCATTCTGTCGCTTTTTCCCACTTGTGAAGCAGCTTGGAGGTTGTGCACCTATGCCTGCGTCTGCCTCATAAAGTGGACAGCAGCAGCAGCAGAGGAGTGCATGCGGCAGCAGCAGCCGCAGCCGCAAAAGCCGCAGGAAGAGCAGTGGGCAGTAATAAAGGCCGCAGTGCTTCCCCCCTTGCAGGCATTGGTGCAGGCAGAGGACGACTGGGCCTCGCACATGTCTGGTGGTCGGTTTTCGCAGCGCCACAAAGAGACCCTCCAAGAAGAAATCGATATGTTTGTACAGATAGAAGCCCGCAAGTCATCGCAATGCTCGCAATGCGTCTCCTGATCGCAGAGAACTATAGCGCGCAAAAGAGCAATTACGCCTGCATGCGATCGACACACCCCATTCAAGAATGATAGCGTAGAACAAAAGCGTTGCTGCGCGTGACTGTGGCCGTTGTCATGCGCACGTGAATTCAGACGGACGTGCAAATGCTGATCCATGTATACACAGCAGCTCGCGTACGTATTCACTTGCACCGCCGTGTGTGCAATCGTAAATTTATGTATGTGCACGCATGCGAATGTATACAAAGAAGTGTGTGCAGAGGCGTGTAAAGTGATCAGTTGCATCTGTTTGCACACTGCTAGTAGCACTACACTGGGTCACTGATGTGGCGCAGGGTGAGGTGGGCACTTTGGCGTTCGTTGTCGCGTTTGTTTTTGTCTTGGTCTGCATACAATTATTTTGCTCAGTGTTTTTCCAAACATTATGCCCCTGGGGAGGGTAGACCAAGAAGGGGAAGCACGAATGCCCGAAGAAAATTACAGTGCTGACCTGTTTCTTGCCTCATGCTTTCTGTGCTGTTTCTAGCTGTCTGGAGTGTGTATAGAAACCCTTGCGGCGCCCACCGACAAACGGAGGTCTGTTGGGCTGGCTAGAGTACCACATAGACGGCAAGCGAAGAATCAACTGACAGACCTTCACGAAGCAGTTCATGCCAATAGGTAGAACAGAGAACAGATATTGCTCGCAGATCGTAGTTGGGAGAGTCGGGAACAGCGTTGGCCGATGGTGGTCTGCATCGCTATGTGCTGTGTGGTACAGTCAGTTTTGGTAGCTCTTTACATGAATAGACTTAGAGATAGGGTTTTTAGCGGTTAGGGTACAGGAGGGAGTCGCCTCCATCTACAGTGAGTCATCAGTAGCTATTTGCCAGTAGTGGTCGGGCACTGTTTAGTGCGTTCCTAGACTGCTCGCGCTGCCATAGGCAGCATAATGACCAAGCCTTTTTAGCGCTAGAGAGCTTTCAGGGTCTGAAAAGGATTCAGCCGCAACGTGTCTCAGGGGGTGCGTGGCACATGCCCAGCACCTCCCCAATCTCGTCACTTGGAAAGGGAGGCCATTTTCTTGCTGGTTTCTTCCACATTGCCTACTCGGACGGAAAAAGTGGGTAGGAACAAACGAATGCATTGAATTAGCTTTAGAAGGCATGTTATGAATACCCAAATCGTTACAGCGTTGCAGAGGAGACCACTCGCCAGGAGTGGCATACAGGCAACGTCAACTTGCGTTTAAGGGCCTCAATATTTCCGCGTATTTCTGACCACTTTTGGAGTTTAATCCGGACTTACTTCATTAACTATTGAATTTCCAACTGAATTTCCCCCCTTCTTTGGTGATCACTGAAGCAGCAATATTTACTTCCAGGTGACCTCTTTGTGCTCGCAGGGTCACATCCGCTACAACCAATAACAAGTTATTTGGACTAATTCCCCTTTTAGTCTAATACTAAATATCAGGAACATTTATTTAGACACATTGGTGAGTGTGCCGAAGAGCCGTTGCGGCACCAATCCTACGCGTGCTGCTGCCGTTACGGTTCGTGCTGCTGTTGCTGCTGCGGCTGCTCGCATTGTACGCCGGCCCGTCGTTCTGCTCGTTTGTCTGCATGCAGGTACTCTTCTTTAAAGAATTGTTATTTGTGGCGCTCAATAAATTGGGCAGCCTCTCCCAGAGTAGGCTAGTTCGCAACTATGCATTTGCAACAACAGTCGCAGAAACAAGTTCAACAACATTGAAGACTGGATTAGAAGCAAGCGACGCCTCCTCAGCAATTCTTTCAAGCTGTCCCTGTATCAGGTGCCTTAATATTCATTCATGAGTGTTTATTTCTCACTTACTGCGGGAAGTCTAGACCCAACGCCTTGACGGTGCAAAGGAACCAAAGAGTCACCTCCAATTTCAAGACAGAATAATCGCGCAACTGGCTTGGGGTATGTGACACACAGTAGACCTTCCCATCTTTTATTTTGCACTTCCACTGTTTTTGGCTGTTCAAGCCTCCGGCGTCGGGCGTTCGCTGCAAAGCAAGGCATCCGCCTGTTCAGCACTTCTCGCCCTCGCAAAGAACCTGACTCGCCTACGGTATGCTCGGTCTAAAGACTTTCACACCCGCACTGCCCTCCCACGTTGGGTGGCACGCTCGACCTCGCCGGCAGCCGCTGCTGTATTCGCTACTGCTGCTTCTGACCCTCTTCGCCACAGAGACGAGCATTACCATTGCTGCAGAGGAGGCAGAGGCCATAAAGGGCCTTGAGGCAGTTGAACTTGAGCAAGATAGAACAACTGGCCGAACAGAACGGGTAGGCCGGAAGAGGGAAGAGAATTGAAACGGGGGCAAAGAGCAGTAGACAATCAGAAAGGCAGAGAAGCAAACGTAAACACAAAGAAGAGGAAGCGAGACGTAGAAAGGCACCGAACAAAACAGACGACATCTCCTGTCTCCTGGAATGCTTATTGGCAGCAGAGTACCTCACCGATCCTCTGATCGTGGCTTAACATTCTTTTGCTGTTTGTGTGTGCCGGCGTTTGCTGCCAACACAGAGAACGGCAATTTCACAGAGGGATGATTCAGCAGAAATCGACTCTCAGCCAATCTCGGAGGTACAGAGACCGGCAGGACAGATCAATTTTGCTTGCTAACTTCACGCTGCCTGTCTGGTGCTGAATGCACTCTATAAGTTTGCTCAATCCCGACATTTGGGAATCTGCAGAAGGCTAGGTGAAATTCCGTTGGTGCTGGCTCTGTTGCCGGCGCTGTAGCTGCAGACGAAGTTGCCTTTATGGTTGCCACTACCACTGCTACTGTCACTGCTTTCAGGGAAAAGGTTGGGACACTTCATTGCCTGTGGGAGCACATGTCGTGCAAAAGCGACAGCCAGCGACTGAACATTACGGGGCTTTCTCGGATGAGTTGCCAGAGTCCTCTCAAGGTTCCCCAAGGGCCTTTAGCAACAACGCCGAGATGGGAATGAATTCTGCACCACCGGCTGAAACAGGAGATCTTGCGCAGGCCCCTCAAGACCATGCTCTTGAGAGATTGAGAAAGGATTCTTTATTTAGCGGGAGGCCATCCTGTCCATCGAGCAGTCCTGCGTCAGAGGAGAGACGAAGGAGGGCCGCTGCCGCTGCGGGCAAGGCTTTGCTGCGTAGCCATTTTCAGCAGCAGCAAAGATGGCTATTGCTACATCAGCGTAAGAACCAAGCAGACCAAACAACCCGGCAGCAGCAGCTGCATATTTCCGCAGAGGGCAACAGCAAAACGGAAACGACGCTTGCAGGGCATCCCTCGGCCTCCTCAGCATCCTCTGACTCTTCCCAGTTTGCGGACATGCACAAAGAAGGGGCAGTAAGAGCCCTATCGGCTTCTCGGCCTGGAAAGCAGATTTTGCAAGAAAGAGAAGGGAACACACAGATAGCGGCACCTGCCTCTTGTGCTGCGCCTCGCTATGCGTCTCCTTTCCTGGAAAAGAAAGACAGCCCAACCTGTGCATCCACCAGCCAAAGAGCAAGTCAGGGCATACTGTTAAGGCATACGGCCAGAGACAAGGGAGATTCCACGAAAGAAACGAAGGAGGCTGCACAGGCGGAACATGGCAAGGTACGAGATCCCCCAAAGCGAGATGCTAGAACTTTGATGCGGGACGTTTGGGGGGGCTTTGAGGCGACAACAGAAGAAACCGCAGAGGAAGAGTCGCTGCTAAAAAGCCCTGGTGCAGCCGTGCATTGGCATTTGTGGGGATCGTCCGCTGGCTACAGCATAGCGGAGAAATACATTGCGCGAGGCGGCCAACGGGGTGCAGCTGTCGGAGTGGGAGAAAACCCCGAAATGACATGGGTTTTGGGAGCGCCAACAGGTAACGGGTTAGGGCTTCACCAAACACTTGAAGAAGAGAGGGCAGCTCTCCTTGAGGCGCTAGATTACAGCTTCATGGTGAATGCAGAACAGGTTCAGAGGGACGGCGACCTGGTGGGGCCTTCATCGCGGCACGCCTATGCAGGTGTCCCATACGCAGTGACTCTTCAGTTCGGCTTTGACTCAGTTCCTCTACACGAACAGAGGGCCATTGAGGCAGCATTAGAAACCAAGGAAGGTTCCGTTCTAGAAAATCCCATTGTGGGCCATTTTTGGACTGCGCTTGAAGAGGCTCTAGGGCAACAGTTCGTAACACCAGCGCAGGTTCAGCTGTCGGGACAGGGAGCCAATGAGGTATCTTTGGTCGAAGGCGGCCCTCTGCATTTGACTACCGTAGCTGAAGAGTGGGTGCAGCAATTGGACGGGCCTGAGGGCGTAGTAGAGCTTGAATTACTGTCCTTAACTCTAGAAGACTTGAGAGTCATCTTGGCTCTCGAGGATGAGACAGGAGGGCCTCTCTCCTTGGTCGCGGTCGAAGATTGGGGCAAGAGAGAGGAAGAAAATCCTCATTACTTATTGCCTGCTCAGGGGCTCCAAACCTTGACTAAAGAAGGTAGCTTGGAGCCTCTTAGCAAAAGCAGTGGCAAAGAGGAGGAGGAAGACGCAGACGACGTCGCTGAGGACGAAGCCTTCTGGGAATTTTTGAAGGCAAATCCAAGTGCTTGGTAAAGCCGAGAAGGGACTCTTCGAGTAAACGTGAGTGCAGCGGTACCACTAAGTTACAGAACACTCAATGAATCTGTTTCTCCTTTTAGTCAAATTATGTGTCTTTTGCTTGATGATTCTGGCAATAAGCAAAAGCAAAAGAGGTCACGGCTACGGGATATTTGCCGCCGCCCTCGGGTGCCTCGACAATTTCTGGGCAAGCAGCAAGCTTGTTTGACATTGGTTGCAATGCGTTGCATGCATGCAAACAAGGAGAAACGCCATAAATTTGCAAGAGTGTGGATGCTGCATTTAGTTCCTCCGAAGGGAAGCCCAATACACCACGAATGCAAAACACTAAAATGTACATTGCAGTTTACACACTGCTCTATGACCAGCAGTGTGTATAGCCATCAGCTGCAGCTCGGAGGTTGTCAAAGCATAATGGCACTGCAGAGCAACGAAAAGGGCTCATGACGGGTTGCATGTGTACCTCCACTTCTTTAGGCCCAGAGCCAACCAGTAGTGCATGCCTACAAGCAGCATTTGGGCTCCCGTGATTATATTCAACAAGATGTTTTGAAGTGTCCCACTGTCCCTTGAAAAATTTGGGCCACGTGATTCGTGTGGCTTCTGAAGTCAAAAGGCGCTGCTAGGTGCCTTCGTGAAGTTCGCAATTCCAGCTAGCCTCGTGAGCTCAGATTGCCTGTCCCTTTCAGGAGCGCTGCGAATATGTTGCGTCTGTCGGTGTGACACGCAATCCTACGCCGCAACACACGCGCAAAACCCTCAAAACAGGATCGGCGATTTAGCTTGAATTCCAATTGGCGTACAGATGGTTTGCCAGTTTCCAATGCGGCACATGGCCAATAATTTCTGAGCGTCAATATTAGGAAGGCTGCCATGAGCCTGATTAGCTTCCGATGATGTCAGCTTCCGATGATGTCGCAACGGGTAAAACATCACCATGCAATGAAGGACTGACCTGACGCTGGGCTCATTGGAATCAAACAAACTTTCCATCCCCATGTATCTGAGCAGACGCATAGAAGGCCGGTATAACCTATTGTTTATTGCTATCGCACGAAGACATGGTTAACACACGCCTTTTCGAAACCGCACTACCGTAAGCTGCGGTCGATTAATCACAAACAAGCTAATAATGCTGCGCTCTGCACCAAAAGCTAAAAAGCCTTCTTATGCATGGCCACAAAATTTGAATCAGATAAGGCGCCGTCGTAGTGACGCCATACAGCAACCTCCAACACTTAGCCGTCTCTTTTAGCAACACCTCGTGCCACCATAGCCCCATACTACCAACTTTTTCTTGTAGAAGGGCCGGTAGTTTCACGTCATCCCGTAATTCACCATAGTCACTCAGCATGCAGTTCGCTGCTCATAGGTCAGCATGGAGTTCGCTGCTCATAGGTACCTCCAGCTCCCCTGTTGGCGCCATTTACGCCCTTATCCAGCTGGGTTATTTTACTGTTAGCTCTGTCCTCCAGTTAGTCTACTATGGTGTGGAGCCCTGCTGCGGCTACACACAGCAGTCCTCGATTAAGGTTCTGGAAACTGGTGCATTTGTCATCATCAGAACCTAGTCGCTGCATCCTCAAGGCCTAGGCCTGCCCGTTAAAAGCTTTAAGTTGTAATGTCACCAAAAGCAGCAGGTAATGGTCCTTCATTTCAACAACGAGTGCCACGCATAGAGACGTTCCAAGTACAGCGTTGTATTCGACGGCACCTTTCCCACAATTATTTAAGTTTTCTATCGTGCTCTTCCAAACTTGGGCGTTTCTGCTCGGTGGCCATGAACCTTACGTCCGTACAGAGCTCTGGTACCGCGACGAGGGCCTTCTCTCTCGTTGCGGTAGTACAGCTCTTTTCTGGCTTTCGCGTATTGAACACGCCGCGGTATGGCTTAATGCAGCATCTATTGTTGGTTTAACTCTGGTCGGGCCAGCCAAGGCCCGCGAGATGCGAGACACTACCCCTTTCCTGATGTTAGCTCTTACCGTTTCGCCTCCCGTTGCCTAATATAAGTCCGTCGAAACTTTTTCAGAGTAAAGCGTCAGTGCCTCATACTTTCCCAAGCTACACTAGGCTTGAGCAGCTTACTCGTCGCGTTGTCACTGCGACTCCAGCTGAACCAGCTCTCTTAACACTCCACTAAGCGATAGAATACAGAATCTATCTATTACTGACATATGCAAGCTATTGCAGCCGAGTCTCCTTGATTTCAGTCTCTGGTTGTTGATCTCGGTAATCCGGGAGCTTCTTCTCCGGGTTTCTGTTGCTTGGGTATCTTCGTTGCAAAATCTCTGAGTGTTTCCACGACTCGTTCCTTGTCGAGGTGCACATCTTACTTTGTGAGCGCATTTGCTTCCCATATTCCAGAGTGCATGTTGATGCGAGCTGCTACTGGTAGATGAGGTGTCTAAATAGTCCACGTACAAATGAACATCCCCAGAATATAGGTCACCAAGACCAAGTCAATTCTCCTCGAATTGCTTCCAAAAACAGTATGGTTAGTGGAAACGAATACTTGAGAGATTCAAGTTAGGATGGCTGGAAGCTCTAATACGCACCAAGATAAAAGCAGGCTTAGTTTGTAGCTCCCGTAAGGGGAAGCAGTGGGAGGCACGAATTACACAGAGTACGAGCGCCTCACTCGCCAGACCGCAACAAATAAACGTATTGATCTGGCCAAATGATATGAAGACAAACACCAGTAACTTTGATCAAAGGCCGGAAAGTCACGCCATGACGAGAGGGCTTCGGTACAGGACCGGTGCCTGAAAAACTCTCTCAACAATGTATGGACATGCAAAAATGTCAAATTATATGCGGCCGGTGATTGTGATTGTGCCCACCCTTTTGTGGAAAGGGCACAGTTCTTGCGTGATACTGGCAATTCTGGTCTCCAGATCCGTTCCTGGATTTCATCACATCATTTCTCGATAAGGAGTGAGCTTGTTTACGTAGTAACTTCCCTGTTCACAACATGGCGCCAGAAAAACTCTGCTTCGTCTATCTTTCGGGAGTTTGGAAACTTGCCCTTAATCTGGCCGAGCTGAAGCTGGGCCCCGTGAAGTTCCGGTTCCAGCTGAGCAGTCCCGGTCCCAGCTGAGCCCAACACGGTGGATTAAACATCTACGAGAGAGGCATTGAAGAAACAAAGGCTGATAGCAGCTCGTAGCCTTGTGGCGGAAGCGCCTGTTTAATTTTACTTAAGGGTGCCGGAATATATAGTTCTTCAAACCACAGGAGAACAGAACTACCACAGAAGGCTCCACAGTGCATTTGCCAGGTAGAGCTCAAAGCCTAAAGGAACCAGTATCGAGCAACTGAACATCGAGATACACCAGAGGACATCACAACTAATCAGCCTCGAAACCTCAGCAGCACAATCTGGACGCAGGGCTGATGAGATATGACCATTTTTTCTAACGAAGCGTTTTCCCGTGTCCAACATTGACAGTGACTCTTTCCTTGCTGGTTAATAGAGTTTGAGAAATCACTACAATTATGCAGTCAACTGCAGCAAAATAGGCGCCGGCTACAGAGGTATATCGCAACTCTCGTCTGGGATACCCCTGTCTGGTATACCCCTAGGCAAAGTTGCACGCTTGCTTCGGGGAACCCAGTCCAAAACCAGAGCGTTAGAGACAGAATGGTCCCTCCCTTTTTCCCCTTTTCTATTTCAGAATGGATGAGTAGAGCAGTCTCCCTAGACACACCTGTGGATATGAACCCTCAAAATCAATAAGCACCAAACTGCACTGAAGACGGGAATTCAGGACTGCAAGTCCATTCCTCTTGTGCTTCCACAGGAAAACCGACTAGGTATCTGAGTTTCCTGCCACCTGCCGTGTCCGTTGCTAGATCAATTTGATGCAAACGGAGTGAGAACGGAATAGTATGTACCCATCACTGAAGCAACAGCTGTCTCAAAGAATTCATGATATGCCGTTGCAGTCGAGATTTTGAATACACAAGCTGCTGGTAGTAAACTCCCGACTCTCCCGTCCTACGAAGCTGCAGCACCACAGCATGGCGCTCTTTTGCAGTAGTGGTTCGAGTCCTCCCGCTGCTTTTATCACCGCTGTTGCTCGTAATGTTGCTGACTGTGCTGCAGTGACCAACAGCCAATAAACACGAAACTGGCGCAAGGAACAGAAGCTCTGCAGAGCTTCGCGCGTAGTACTTGAAAAGCAAAACATGATTCTCGGTGACCAGTGTGAGACACTGAAGGAGACGGTCCAGAGCGAAAAAGAGAATTGGTAGATTCTCCCTGAAACGAAAAGACGTACATGGAGGTTAAACATCCACTGCTGCATACGCTCTTGCCCGTGTGCTTTATGAGCGCCTCCCTCCAGATGCCCCAATGAATCACTTTTGCTGTGATGGTGTGCAGCTCACCAATACTGTCCTTCGGCTTCTGCCAGGATAGCTTTGGCTTTCGCCGCTTCGCTGTCGTATGCAACAAGCAGGCGTGTGTTTCCGAGGAGCAAACGGGGAAGACGAAATCTTGGGCGCTGTCGTCCTTCTACTTGGGAGGCATCCTATGGGAACGCAGCGCACTAATCACGAGTACGCAGTATTGAAGAGAGATCATTCGGTACTTTTCCGTCCATTCAGGGAACAAAAACAATCCATGCTCAAACAGACAGTATTTAGTGAGATAAGACTGTTTTTGATGGCCGTCGAGAAGAAAGAAAGCGAACACTGAAATGCTTCAATCACCTTAATGGCCTCAGCGGTTTTTTGAGCAAAGTCGAGCACTCCTGTTAGCGGTTTCACAAGAAAGCCCGCAATACCTCTCCCAGCACCGCGGAGCAACCCCTCAAAGCCGCCTTCTGCAGCTCCCCTAACCGGTTCCTCCACCAAACCTGCAGATTCACTCAAGACAGCGGGATATGGGGCTCCTAAGCAGACATCTAAAGAAAATGTAATGCAACACATGTGGCATGACTCACATATACAGCGAGGAACAAACTTGCTGCGGTGAACAGGGCCTACATCGCAAAGCGAAATTGCGACGGTGCCTGTTTTCTCTTGTCGAAGCATACCTGTAAAGCCGCCAGCAAGAGCTTTCCCAAGGGCCTCAACACCCTGTTGTAAACCCTCTTCCACGTTTCGTGCCTTGTGTCTGCCTTGCTTCTTCCTATTGCTCACGTAGACCTCGTCACAAGCAAGTGCTCCAAGCGAATCAGACGCGGCTCCTGCCATCCGACTAATGCCTCCAAATAAGCCATAGCCTGTGCACGAGGTAATTTGCACGAATCTGGGGGAGAATATGCATAAGCCACGCTATAAAAGAATAGTCAGCACACCAACAGATGCAGAAAAAGTAGACGCTGGCACACGCACGACCCAGTAAAAATGCCCCGATAGAAAGAAAGCCCACGAGCCCCAACACTGCCCGGCCGTAAGAAGGTGGCGATACACCTCCCGCTGTGTGCTCGTGCGAAGACTCAACGGACTGCGGCAAAATTATTGCCTACGAGCAGTGGTTTCCGCGCAGGACGGCAGCAGGTAGAAACCCAAGTCCCACCAGGCTCCTCACCAGTGTGCTTCAAGAAGTCTTCTGCTCCCCTAATCATTCCTTCGAATACGTCCCCACCAGTCTCAGCAGCTTCCCAGGGCTGCCTGGCCAGGGCGTACACACCAGCCTGGAGGTGTGCAAGCGATAAGGCAGGGTTTCCTAAAACAGGGGCAACAGAGAAAGCCTGGTAACATGATGCTTTGCTCTGAGTGGAATTAGGTAGAAACTCTAGACGGTGGAACCCTGCGAAGCTAAGTAAAGGTGGTTGTGTCGAGTAGTATTTAAAAACTTATGCAGTACTTCCCGACCTACCTAGAACATCTACAGAAACCAAAATCTTCGACAGATGAGATAAGAACTGCTGTTGATAAAAGTACCGCAGTACCCTTACGACATCTTCCAGCGAGAGAGCTGGCTGCTTGTGGTGCCTCATTAGTTGCACGATATGAGAAAGATCTTGCTCCGTCTGCGGCTGCTGCTTTTGTTGCAGCGCCTTAAGATCTTCAATAAGCTTCCGGCTTGTCACATGCAGCCCATCCACCTGGAACCGAGCATCTTCAAGGGAAGAAAGACTTACAACTGAGCGCTGCAAAGCGCTGCTGCTGCCGCCCGTGTCTGCCTTAAACGATAGGACAATGCACGTGCTATCTATCGTTAGCACCCGAAAAATATAGCGCCGTTGCCTTTGCTGCTTGAACTCCTGCATCTCCTTCTGGAAAGCCGCTTCTTCTTGGTTGCACAGCAATGGGCGGACAATCAGGGGAAAGGGAGCAAATGACACATTTGTTCTGGTGATCTTGGAGACAAAAAGCGCAAGGGGCGTTTCCCAAGTTCTGCTGCTTCTGCATGCCCATGCCATTCCGCTCTTCACAGAATAGTGGTGCTCCAGGCTTTTACTTTCCAACAAAGCACTCTGATTGCATAGAAGAGGCCAGTCTGCAGAAGCCAGAGACGTTTCTGTGTCGTCCCCGTTCTCTGGATCACTGGGTGCATTGCTGGAGTCTTGTAGGCTCATGGATGAAGTAGCAGCTGCCCAGGCAGACTGCCAACAGCTTATGGCTTCAGACCCTAGATAGAATATGTTTAAATCAATCTTGATGGTGACGGGCTGCAAGAAACATTGCAGACATATGCTAGCATGAATAGCGGATTGTTGCGCGCGATCAAAAAGTGTGCAAAGGGCCCTGTACTCGCGTCGTCACAGAAGTTGTGAGCAGGAGCTTATTGTATGCTGTCTCACCTGAAGCGACAAGCTACATTTGTCAACGATGACGACCCCACCATCATGACTACCGTAAAAGGGCTTTCGCTGCTGCAACAAGAATTGAACAAGGGCACCGGCATCATTTCTTTTTTCAGAACATGGAGTCTTCTTGATAGGTGACTGCGTCTTGATATCCCCGAGTTTATGACTCTTGTCCGTCAAAGTTGTTGCCTGTGGCAGTTGCAAGCAGTTGTTCTCTCCGCTGGGAGTGACCTGAAGAAACAGTAATATCGGTAAAAAATGCCGTGAAAAACAACAAGTCTACGAGACAACGCTTCAACACCCAGAGCATAAAGCGACAAGGTGATGTGGCCAACCTCGTTAAGCATAGGAGGAGCTCTTTGGAGCAACACCGGGTAGTACGCCTGCGAGTGCATGGAATCGATCTATGAAAGCAAACGCAAGCAAGGATCACACACAGCCAGAGATACGCCTTCACGTAGTAAGAAAAATTTGCAGGAGCAGGCGAAAATTAGGACACTGGGGGTCGCTGGCTTGTGGTGAAAAAGCATATAAAGTAATGCCCGCAGTAGAGATAAAATTATTACCTGCAGCTCCTGTATCCTGCAAGCAGCGGTGCTGTGGAAGGGACTCCAAAAACAAGCGGCTGACAAACCTTCGAATGTTACCAATATCAGCTCCTCCGGAAGGCGGAATGTCTAAAGTAAATGAAAAATTACGAAGAGTGCGAAACCTTCTAGCGTTGCTCTTGAGAATATACCATCCCCTCAAATGCGCAACGAGGAAGTCTAGTTTCACTCTCTCCGCGACTACGCAACTGTGAATTACACATTTTCAACATGTACAGTCCGCTGCAAATATAGGCTCATCAACCTGCCACAACTTCCCCATTTGAACTGAACAGTCTCCCTTCTCTTAGCCCTCGAAAGAGCTGCGTACCTGGCGAGACAGCGGGTCAGTGACGGGGCATTGGGATAAGACAGAAAATTGCAGGCGAGGAACTTCAACACGTAGCTCGAATGTTGGGGGATCAGGAGTTGGCCTCACTGGAAGCATCGTTGTCGCCTTGGCAATATCTTCCTTACCAGACTTAGCAGAAGCAAACACTTGTTCAGAAGCTGAAGCTGTCTTCTGGTCAGGTGCGTATGAGCCTGCAACTGTGCCAGAGAACCGGCACATTGAGGCGTATGACCACTCGGGCACACGGTCCGCGCCGTTGCTGGCTTCGCCGCTGCGAGAGCAGTCTTTCGTCAGATCCGTCGCAACATGATGGAGTTGAAGATACCGTGGCACGATAAGTAAAGAATGGATATCCACATCATCTGGAGAGACCGCCACATGGTCGATGTTCTTTTCTACCCGAGAAGAATGATCTATCCCAGATGAAACAGCAGTATTCAGCCGCACTGGTGTATTGAAGCTCTCGCTACACATTCGAGCACTGACGTCCTGTTTACTCTCCGCCGCATTTGAAGGATTCGCACTGGCTATCCCCAGAGTTTCGCCTACAGGGGCGATTTGCAAAAGGAGCCTCTCCTCGTGGCGAACAACTCTGAAGAACAGCCAGTTTGGAGACGGCTGTGACTGCAGCGGCACGACTCCCTGAACATTGGTGTCGAGAGGAATGCATGCAACAAACGGTTGACTCAACGAAGGTGAGTCCGGTCCGGGCAAAACTTCTTCGGGGTCTGCGTTGGATGTAGGTTCAGTTGTCGGAGAAGAAGGGCTTTCCTTATCCGGCCACTGCAACCACGGGTAGGAAGATACCTCTACACAAGGCGAGCAGCGATAATCATCCCAAGTAAATACTACAGTCTCCCCTGGCAGCACAAGTTGCGGGAGGGGCCACACAGACGACAGCCTTGCGTCAAGCGTTGCAGTCGACGTGTCTTTTCTGGCGCTTTTCTCTGCTGCGCACAACTCCTCTGTTACAGCAGATTCAAACCAGCACCAACAACACTGCTCAACCGCGACATGGCTGCTCGCAGCATCAGTGACACAATGTTGTTGTAGCTGGTAAGGTTTTCTTTCAGAAGCAGCGGCCTGAGCAATGAGAGCCAATCGGTCTAAAAGCAGCTGGACACCCTCCTCACTGGGAGCTGCAGATATGTGAACCGCATCATAAGAATGAAAAAGTGAAGCTCCGTTTTGCTGTCGTATAGTGTGCTGTTGTTCTGCCCGCCGCTGCTCCTCTAGAAGCATGTTTAGTTGTTGGGTTAAACCACTGGATATTCCCTCGCTGCTACTGTCATACTGACCAAAGCTCTTTGAGTCAACAAAGCTGCTCAGTTGGCGCTTTTCCAGATCTTCGCTCTTCGTTGCTGTTCCCCATAATTCAGCGACCGCTGCAGTAACAGAGTCAACCCCAAAAGCCGCGACCTGTGGGAGGCCAAGCTTTTGAGCCATCTCGGACGACCGGCGGCCCACTTGGACGGATTCACCTTCTGTTTGACTGCCTCTGTGGCGGCACTGGCGCAGCATCAGAGGTAACGCGGTGTCGTTGCAAATCAAGACAACGTCCCGGAATTCAAACTGCTCTCTTTGGATCGTCAAGTTAACAGTGCTGGCTGGGCCTGCTGTTGATTCTAAACGCAAGGACGAGCATCCTAGAGCGGCATAAGCCCGATTCATAAATTGTTTTGGAGGCTGCTGTCGACGGCGAGGTAAATTTCCAGAGGCCTTCACTGAAACTCCCCGACGCAAAAGCGCACCTAAAAAATCTTGTGGCGTCACCGTATGCCATCTGGCCTGTAACCTTCGCGGCGGTTGCTTGTGTTGATTCGGAAGGCTTTCAGCCCGGTTTTGGCGAAAGTTGGAAGATACCTGTTCTCCTCTGGCGGCGCTTCCGTGTCTTCTGAAGGCAGAAGGGGTGGCTCCCGGTAGCTTAAGAGGTACATTGGGTATACGGATGCACCAATTTTCCCCAGTACGACACACAGGAGAGTAGCCCGACCACGTGCTCCACATTGAGTTTGACGTGCTGTCGACACTTTCTGCTGTTCTCCCACGACTGCAACCTTCTTGTAACCAACAGAGGCTGGGCACCAGTCTGCAGGCGCAGCAACCATTGGCAAATGTGCGTCGACTAATTAAACATACGAACAAATCCACAGCAAGCTGGAAGTTCTTTTGAAAATATTGTATATCCCAGCAACGGTGAAATGTTGTCTTCTGCATTGGGTGCGTGCTTAGGCGCACATACATGTCGTTGTAGGACTGTTACCAAGGCGGCTAGCCAGAAACACTAAAACTATGCAAAGCTTCAATGAATCGCAGAATATCGCTGTATGCTCACCCCTGTAGCTGTATGGCTCGGATGCCGTAGTTGAACTGCCAGACAAGGGGCTCAGTATGCTGAGGCTGCAACTCCATAGTGAAGCCAAGAGTTTCTCGAGAAGCCCCCGTATTTCCTTCGAAGAAGCAGCTTGGCCGCGCTTGGCGGATTCTAATGGGGAAGTGGCACCGACTTGTTATTGTGTACATGGGAGAAAGCGTTAGCAAGAGCACAGGGCGTAGAAGAGGCAAAGGTGCCTCCAATATTGCAGCAACCACGTCTAAACAGGGCCCCCCCATCGAATTCTTGAGCGCAGACTCCAGTCTGGACGGCCTGGCAGCTTGGCTGCCTCTGCTTGTGTCCTTCGTGTCAGAAAGGCCTACCTCACCATTTTCAGAACCTTGAGGAGAGCTCGTGCAGTCTTGCTCTTCTTTTGAAACCATGCGAGGGCAAGTTTCGTAGGTCTGGTGCGGTGCTGAGGGGTTTGCAGCCACACTCAGCCTCCTGGGAAATTCCCCCCAAACGTCCAAGTATTCAGAGCAGCCTATCCCTTCAGCTTCCACACGAATGGAAGATGTCTACACGACGTCAAGGAACACAGACACAAGAAGCGAGAATGCAGATCCCGTCCCAAAGGCCTGGCTGCAAGATGTACTTCGATTAAACCACTGCTAGCAGAATCCGCTAGGATCACTGCTATAGTCGGACGAAAGCAGCGTTTTCTTTGTCAGTGGACAATGATATTCACTAACGTGACTGAACAGTCGACTACCACAGCATTTATGTGCAGATTAAACGTTACCGCCTTCAGGACTGCCTGACCCACACTAAAATCGAGAAGTCGTATATCTCCGGTGCAGTCCTGCGTGAGGATGCTGCGAGAAGAAGCTTCAAACTTCGGGACCTTGGACGGCTTTGGCTGCCTTGTGTCCCCCTGTAGGTCTACCGCAGCAGCCGCAGCTGACATTGCCTGCATCGCCCAACTTGCGCCTGTGGTGGTGTTACGACGAATGATACTGTACTCAACAGCAGGCCGCTTCTTATTTCTCTCCTCTGCAGAGTCTGGCTTGTCTAGCTTCCGTGGCTGTTGCAGCCACTTTCTTTGGAATGCCCACTGAATGTGTGACACCAGCCACACAGGGGCATGCAACAGCAAGGAGGGGGAGCGTCCGTCAGATTCACAAAAGATGAGCCACAGCTTGACAGAACAGGATCGCCTGTCCAAACACTCGACCTGATGGGAAGTAGAACATGGCACACCTAAAAGAGTAGGAGTGAAGCATGTTTGTTTGGGAGAAACCCCTGGCGAGAACAAAATTTTGAACTAGCTCACCTCTATAAAAGTTTCTCCTGCTGCTGTCTCGCCTGAAGATTCCTTCTTGAGGCTCTCAAGAATATCGTCCCTTACGCATTCTGCTGGTGCCTGACCAGCCCCTAAGTGCGAACCTACAGCTGCCGAAGGGCTGGAAAGCGTTTGTGAAGGAATACTTGATGAAGGGTTCCTCCGATGGAGTGGTGGTGGTTGTACTTGAGTCCGCTTTGACCACTGGCCTTCTGTCAGTGAGATGGAAAGAAAAGCCACTCCTGCAATCAACCACCATATGTTAACAAGTTGCAACACGCATCAAAGTGAGTATTTGACTAAAACCACTTGCGCCATGGCAAATACAAAACACAATACTGAACAACTGAGAGCAGCTTGCTACAACAGAGAACTATTCATCTGTCCCTGCCTGCTGGTTGACAAGAATATAAGCTAACTACAAAACCAAAATGATTATCATTCAAGGGCCTCCTGAGTTCCTTCAAGGCAAAGTAAAATAAGCGAGCTTAAAGCGTACCTGTTAAAGGGAGCGAATGCACACGTCGCCGCTCATTCAACTGGAGTATTCCCTCTGAGTCCTCGGGGGGATCTTCCCCAGCCTTCACGGGTAGCGGACATTGAACGCGATATCTGTAGGTATCGCCCAAATTCATTGGATCCATCTAAAAATGCCATATTTGGCAAAAATCTCGCATTGGTGCTCGTGAAAATCGAATGCATACTGCATCGTAGATCAAAGCAAGAAAAACATGGGGATGCCTGAGAAATCTCACCTGATGGGGAACGGGATGTTGCTTGCGATGCGCAGGGGAGCCTCAAATGACACTTTGAGCTGTATGCAAGAGAAAGACGTGTGGAAAAGCCGCTCCTGTCGGTAAGAGACCACAATATGGTAGTCAGGCCTTCGTTTCGTTGGGACATTCTGCACTTCTTGTTGCTCCAAAAAGCATTCTTCTCCAGTGCTTTTCGCATGCCTGCTTGTTTTGCAACTCCTGCCGGTGCTGCTAATGCAGGGGCTGCACCGCAATAAGTCGGTTTTCGACAGTTGCCTGTTAATTGCATCTCTCCTCGCTTCACTGGCTGCTTCATCGTGAGACTTTTGGTGTTGCTGGTCCTCGACAACCCGCCACAATGTGTCTAGACTTAATTCCTTAGACCATGTGAAAGTCGCCCCAGACAGCAATGGCCGGACTCGAAATCTTCCTGTGAAACAAACTGAGCAGTTACAGAAGTGGCACACAGAATTCCGACGTTAGACTGTGAAAACAGGGCATGCTAGAGAGATAATGTCATCACTGTCTGTTTCCTTGACGTGGTGCCTGCATAGTGAAACTTTTGGCACGGGCCCGCATAGGCTTACAGTTGACTGGTACAGCCAATGTTTCTCCGGGTTTTAGTAACAGAAGGCACTCATTTTTCTTTTTGTTTCCGCCATTCTCTCGAAGTCTCAGCTCTTCATCTTGCTGGCTGGGGCCAAGGGATTCAATCAAAGGCAATAACATAAGCTGAAGTGGAGTGCTGCAGGAGCTGCGAAGCACTACTTGAGATTGTACCAACAGCTGCTTCGTCCCAGCACTGGCGATGAGGCGGCAAATTACAAAAGGCACTGATTCCTTAACAGCTGACTTAGCAGGGGATGCTCCAGAAAGTGCCGTCATCTTCGTCTCTGGCAAAGGTTGAATGTAGACTCCGATGCGGTCGAGCGGTACTGGCATGCCAAGCATCCACTTCTTGGAGAAGCCGTCCAAAGATTCATTATTGTTCTCCGCCGCTCTACAAAACCCCTTCATCTTTAGAGTAGATCTACGTAGAGGCTGTTGTGCACCGAACTCCCCCGCAGCCTGATCAGCAAGCTGTAGTGCAACATGAGCAGTTGATGCTGTGCCAACAGAAACCCTCATTTGCGTCAACGCACGTTCTTCCGACGGACTCAGCCATTCCCACCGGGCAGCGGATTCCCAATTCTGGAGGCCGCTGTCTTCGGCTTCATGAACAGTGGAGGGAGAGGGTGGGCATGACGCGGTCACCGTGTCGCTTGACTTGACTGTTGGCGTGCTTATCGCGGATCCAAAAAATCCAAAAGGCGTTTTCTGTAGAGTAGGTCCAAAGTCCCAACATACAGGGGCTGCAGCTAAACTGCGTCCAATCTCTGCTTCGCTCGTGCTGCTGTTGCTATCATCACTGCTGCTATATTGCCCAGTTCCCCATGTGCTTCTGTTGTGGCGGTGGCACAACCGAAGAGTACGGGGGAGCCCGTATTGTTCTGCGTCGACTGCGCTAATAGTGCGCCTGCCAGAACCAACGTCTGAGTGAGCCGTTTTCGCAGCTGCTTCCTCGGGCAAAAGAAGGATTCCAAGGTGAAGTCCAGTCTGGTTCACAACATGGTAAGGTATGAAGACCTTGCCCCGTTTGGGGTCTGCTGCCTCCAGGTGTGGTCTCTGCTCCTGCTGGCAGCGGTCTTCATTCACTGATCCATCGGCTTCTATTTTAGATGCTGACTTTCTTGCATAATCGCGTACATGATCTACGCTTTCATGCATGCCTATTTGAGTGTCCTCAAATGGCGAACAGCCACTGGGTGAGGCCTCCAAAGAGCATGATGAGCATCTTCGATGAACCTTTAAACCAAGGTGCACTCCGAGACAATCATTCGTTCTCTCAACAGATGCTTGCGGCTCTCGTTCGTGGAAATCCTCTGGTTCCCCTGCGGAATGGCTTTCTATGTGATGCGAAGCTCTATAGCGCTGCTCCTGTAGCTGCCGGGCCTGCTGTTGATCTGAATCTGAAACATGTCGATGAAGGACTTGTGGACTTCTACGCCTCCTCGCAAGGCGGCCTTGACAGGGAGTGGTCCTCCGCGCTTGTCTGTGCCCTTCTTGCGGCTGTTGCATGTGGTGCGCAAAGTCACAATACCACTTATAGAGGCTCCCTACTACAGACTGCAACAACAATGGAGACAAGTTAGCTTCAATACTGCTCCCTGGCGTAGATGACAACAGAATACCCAAGTACCGCTCTGCAGTAGAGGTGGCATCGGGAGAGCATGCAAGTGTGCCACCGCGGTTCTCAGATCCAGCAGCCCCCTTGATTCCGGATTGGAGCACGAATGATTCATCACCTTCAAAGTGAGTGGTGACGCTGTCTGCGTCCCTGTGCAAGCTTTCCAGCCCCTGCCTCATGTAAAGTTGTGCGGTGGCAAGTCGGTCGGTATCGCTGGAGCCCTTTTGCTGTTGGTTTCGAAACATGCTTGTCTCACGATCTGCAGCGTTCTTCGAAGTGTGAGGAAGAAGACGACCCACTGAGTCTGTTGACTCGTCCCTTATCCGGGTCTCGCAGCGGCTGCTGCTGCTATTGCTAGGGTTCTTCGACAGAGGTGCTGTGCCGAAAGGAACCAAGAGACCCGGCTTCCGTAAGATTCCTTGGCTTCCCCCACGTCTGTGCAGGAACGAAGGCGGCCACGAAGAATGATGTTCGGACTCCGCGGTCCGGCCACCGCAGTGCCTTAGAGCAAGCGCCTGACTATCATCGTCGCAACGCGATCTATACGCGTATTGCATGAGTGAATACGAAGCTTCACGTATTACGAGAGCCAACGGTAGCGACTCCACTACCGGTTCAAACGCGACAGCGAGAGGATTAAAGGCCCACAAAAACAGCGAACCCTCCAGCAAATTTACAGAAGAGATCTGTTCTCGCTGAGGACGATGACGGAGTATGCCCAGCGCTTCTGTACGAAGAGGGGGCAAAACAGAGCACGCCCGAGAAAAACAACTGTCAAGCATCAATAGCTGCAAGAGAGGAGCTTGAAGGCAATCTAGGTGATCATTGAGGAGCGTAACGCGTAATAACGGTAAGCAGGCAAGCACACGGCTCTGTCGTGGAAACGACGGGGAAGTGTGCAAATTTCTGCTTGCGTAAGGCGCTGGCGCGTTTGGCCGCAGATTCGAGTAAGTGCCTCGCCTGCCCTCCGTGAAAGCTGCACGTTGAACGGAGGACGAAGTGGAGAGTCCCTCTGTGACTACAGAAGGCGTCGGATCACTCTCCACGTACTGCTTCCGACTGAGCCTCTGGCCCCTTGCTAGTTGCTGTTTCAGAGCCAAGCCGTGGTGGAAAAGCCGCAGGAAAACGGCCACCTGTCTTTCTCTCCTGCTTTGCTGCTCTTCTGCCTGGCGTATCTGCTGAGCAGCGCACCTGCAAATTAAGAGGCAGTCCAAGTACGAAAGCTCCAACTCACATGGGCCAACGTGTAGAACAGTATGCTCCTGTGGATGATGGCAACAGCAATCGCAGATCCGCCCCAAGGACCCTGTATCCACTTTGGCGCTGCTCGATCTCATGGCCTTCGTGATGCGCGAGCAACAGCTGCTATGCACGCCTATGCTTTCAGAAGCATTTTTCGAGGCGCTGTTGGAAGCAGATTTCGAAGAGATTTTCAGTCCATGAAGCACTCCACCTGAGCAGGATTCTGCTTGGCTTTGGTGGGAAAAAGTAGGCGGAGTGGATATGTGACTTAAATGAGCACTAAAATCACTGCATATGATCCGTGCATTACTCTGTAAAAGCACTCTTGGAGCCGTTGAGTCTGCTGCCTTTGAAGCATCGACAGGTCGATCAACCGGTCCAGAAATCTTGCATTTAGTGTGGACTTTGGCGAACTTCTCAACAGGCGTGTCATTTGCAAGTGTACTTCTGTCAGCAGTGTGTTGGACCAAGACGGTGGCGACGTCCGACGCATTTACGTACGCTTCCACTTCTGCCTGCGCGGTAGCACTCCTCAGCTCGTCAAGCGCCACCTCGCGCACTCCAAGCACTTGAAGGCTTTGCTTTGGAAATGCTTCGGATGCTGCGCCTGTACGTTTACTACCAGAGTTTAATCGCCGCAGACTTCTCCAGTGCCGTAGCTGTAGGTGCTTGTGGCGTCTAAGAAAGTCCGTCGTGCTAGCGTCCATTTGTTGCAGCGGCTTACTGTTGCGTAAGCATGTAACCGTCGCCTTTCGCAACAAAATGTCAATACCTCGGATGCCCGGGCAAAATTTGTCTGGTAGGCTACCTGGGGAACTAGGCTGGGCTTCCCTGAGAGGCTCCTGCTGCTGAAGCAACGCGCCACCAGTTTCCTTTTCCTGAGCAGATGCTATATTTGCTCTTACAGCTCCCCACAACGTTCTGTCGCCAGCGCTATCACACTTCCAAAGATGCTCAAAAGCACCAGAAGCAGCTGATGCGCCGCCAGAGGTGTTACAATGCGCTATGGGGTCTAGAATATCATCTGCACGTCTCCGCACATTGACTGAACCACGAAGCAGCACGGAGCCGCTCTCATACTCGGTGCCATCCACAGGCAGAAGTACTGATGCTTCAGACAGATATATCACTACGTCTTTTGATGTCAGTTGGAGAGGCGGAAGCATTGTCTTCTGTGACGGTGGCACGGCTGCGCAAATGCCGAAGAAACCTGACTGCTGAAGATTATGTCTATCGTCAATTTCCGACTTTTGTAGTTCGCTGTTCTCGCAGGAACTGGCAACGCCTTCAGAATCGGTTAAGCCGTGTTCTACATATGCGCCCAGAGCATCTTTACTGCTCTGACTACTAAGCCCTGACGCAAAGCGCTTGACTGAGGCGAAGGAAGACTGGCACAGGGCAAGAGCTTTGCTTCCAAAATGAGTGAGGTGAATATCTCTTCGGTCGTCTCCGGAGACAGAAAATGCATCATGGCTAGCAGTCCTGGCAAGACTGTTACTGCGTGCCCAGACTGCGGGATCAATGTTGCTTAGTTGACTTAAAGCATGGCGGCCACTGATGGTGCCTAGCTTTTTGTCTCCAACTGCAACGCATGATGCATCGTTGAGTTTTTCTTTATCGCTTCCCCTTCTGCTAGTTCCTCTGTGCATCCATCGCCTTCCACCGGGACAGTTGAAACAAACTTTCCTGGCAGAACAATAAGGTGGCTCACTGTCAAAAGTAGCCTGACTATCGTCAGAACTGGACTGGGCTGGGTGCGTGATGTCACAGCTCATGGGCCATACCACACGGCTCTGGTGATTTGCACTTTTCCAGTTATTCCCCTGTATCATTTCTGCGCCTCCGCCGGTTCTGAAGGCCGCTGCATGCCGATGCACTGCGCCAGTTGTTGCTTCGTAATCGGAAAAGAAGCCAGAAATACGAGTGATTAAAGGCAAAGTTAAGACACACCGGGTTCTTTCAGACGATAATGAGATGCGCTGTTGTTTCCTCTGGCGCTGACGTTGTAGTAGCAGCCGCTGAACCATAAGGAGTCTCTCTTTAGCCGTCAAATTTCGACATTCTGGGATATTATGCACTACGTCGTCGAGCAGCGGTGTCACTGGAGCTGCTGTCGCCCATTTGCAGAACACGCTCAGCTCTGCCTGCTGTGGCATCAACAGTTTGGGAAGAACTCCATCCTGACCCTTCTGTTGCGGCGAATGCTGCAAGCCACAGCGGAATAGAGGAACATACTTTCCACTAAATGATGGCATTTCGACGGCGGCATCCCTTGAGTCAGTTCGGTCTGCAGTTTTCGAAGCCTTACAGCAAGAAACATGGCCTTGGCCAGGGGCAGTGGCAGCACGGGTCTGCGTAGAAGAACGAGAGGTTGGTTCGCATTCCTCGTTCTGTATGTCTTTCATCTGATCTTCTAGATGCAATGGGTCAATCCATGGAGTCGTAAAAGCCGTCAATAGAGGGTGCTCTTCCTGGCGTAGCAGCCTAGGTGAGTCCATTGGTAGCTGGCTTGCTGACCTCTCTACTCGCTGTGCGTCCCCTAAACGGCATCCAAATGCACTGGTTTCGGAGCCCAATGATTTGTCACCCATTTGTACGGCTGCCGCAATGGATCCTGATTCCGCCCGGCGAATGCTTTCTGCTAGGGGCTCCAACTGCTGCTGTAAGAGCCCCAGAGGGCATGTGCTATTCGTGAAAACCACCGAAAAGGGAAGAGCCAGGTCCGGAGAAAATACGGTAGATGAGCCAACTCTCATTCCTAGGAATGTCCCTCTGACTGGAGGGGGTAGTATACGGCGAGTTTCAGACTGATATTCGCCGTCCCGCTTCTCGTGGTTGCCCTGAGAAGCTGAAGACGTAGTGCTTACCAGCAAGCCCACTTGCTCGGCCTGGCGTGGAGGCAACTGAAGCGATCGAAACTGTGCCTGTGAAAACACAAAAATGGCAGAAACACGTTAAGTCCTGTCTGGACCTCATGTAACACATACAATCGAACCCTCCTTGTACGTTAGGAAGACAGCAACCCGGCCACGTCTGACAAGCTATCTCGCCACCAAGAAAGAAGAATTACCATTAAATGTCGAATCTTACTCTCAGGCGCGTCGCATGAAGCAGTAGAAAAGGTCTTCGTTGAGCACACTCGATCCCACCGAAAGGCGGGAGGTTACTTCTCGGACAATTGTCACTGCAAAACTTTGGCCGTCGTCCTTGGTTTTGCTTCAGAGCCCAAATGCGGCTCCTAAAAGCGCCACATTGCTTCCGCAGCAAGAGGGAATACTTCTTGACGGGGTATTCAAAGGCAGCAAGGTGCACCCCTTGAACAACTAGTTCCAAGAGATACGTCTCATGTCCCCACTCCTCTAAAAGCTCCACGAAGTCCACCTGCGGCTCCAACAGTCCCTGCAGCGTTTGTTGCTCCTGCAATCGTTGCAAAAGTATTCCCGTTTTACCGTACTTGTCGGAATCTATTGTAGACCTCCCTTCTGGTGTCAGTGGGTATTTGGGGAAGCACTTCTCAGCCTTTGATTCCGTGTCGCAGTCTGCGTGTTGTACTTCTTGGATAGTCTGGTGGTTTCCACTGCGTTCACGTAGGCTTCCTGCCTGCGGTTCAAATACTGTATGCTTTGATGAAGTGTAGTGATCTCTGGTGCTAAAATTGTTTTCAAAAACTTCAAAAATGAGTCTTAGTGCTTGTGCGTCAAGGCTAACGGGTAGCAGTCCTGCCTCCACTCGTATCCAATGGGACGAAGAACGCATCAACGCCGGTCGTAACACGCGGACCATAAGGTCAGCGCTACCGAAAAGGTAGCTTCCAGGGGAGCCAGAGGCCCTGCAGGTGGACTCTGAAGCTTCTAATGGTGTTATTGTAGGGACTCCAAACGTGTCGACGTCCGGCGCCTCGGCTGGAGGCAGGGCATCCAGTGAGTCGCGGCTGGCACAGCGGCGGCACGAACCTGACCGAAATTCCGCACCAGAAGCCTGTTGCTGACGCAGGGTTGTTTGCCCCAGTGACGATTGTGCACAGCAGTCGACGTTGGCAAAGGCTTTCGCTCCCTCAAAAAACACGTTGATGCTTTCAACAATTCCGTGCTTTCTGCTGAGGCGCCAGGAGTTCGTCACTGTGACACTGTCGAGAAGACAGATGATTTGCCGAGCACCAACCAGATTCGAGTTCTCTGAATCCGTAATCCAGTTTGTGCAATCGCTGCAGGCGCCAACGTTTCCACCCGCTGCTCGATCTCTCCTGCGATAGCAAGAATCATCTACTACGCGATGCTCCGTAGTACATTTGCAGTATGAATAGGTTGGAGGCCAAAAAATGGCTCGAGTACCGCTGGATTTACAGGCTGCCGGCAGGAGTAAACGGGGACATGAGAACCGCACTTCATAGTGGAAGACATTGAACGGTAGGGTTTCCGGTAACAAAAGGCGTTGTAGCATTTCTTCACCAGTGTTTCCTTCTTCAATGCCTTGCGTTTGCTGCTGAAAGAGCGGCGTCATGCCGAGAATTGATCTTCCTGCATCAGCAAGCAAGAAAATGTGCTGAAGTCCTTCGTTAGGGACTATGAAGGATTTTCTGTCCAATGCACCGCTGTTAGTGTCCGCACTCTGCCCATCGCCCTCCGCTGCAGGCAGAACAAACGCCCTTTTATTGGCTCCTGCCTCGGACTTTAGAAAGCTACGCCTCGCTAGGTCTTGTAGAGAAGGTGAGTGCTGAATGGGCTTTGGTGCAGCCTCTGGGGGGCTTGATCTGCTCGCAGGCCCTCTTGTTTTCGAAGAATTTGGTGATGGCACATGCGAAGAGATTAAAGTGCCGAAGAAGTCCTCTATTAGCCAATTAAACAGTCTCCAGAATTGGTAGTGTACATATGTGACACGATAAGTCCCTAGTTCAACCTTCAGGCTTGAGCTGAGTCCAGAAAACTCGGGTGACAATGGATGCATCGAGTCAAGAGAAACGCTAAAGGCATTATCGCTGCCAGGAACCACACCAATAACTTCCGTTGTTAGTAGTCGAATCCTGAAGCGGAATCTCTCATCGATGGACACTTCTTTCGCGCTACATCCGAGGATCCCACAGCAAGCTGCTTGCACAGGTTGCACGCTGGCGCGGCGGGCTTGCTTTCTGGCTGAAACGCAGTTCGAATACGGCCTATTTTCGACATTAGGGACGACACAGTGCAGCGAGAAATCCCGCATACTAGCTGTAATCTTGGTTGAATGACGATGCAGGCGAAGATTCATGGAAGCTGCTGACAAAGCCGCCGTTGCCAAAGGTGGATCAGCGCCACGGGAACTCCACAAAATATCCACATTCTGAAACTTAACTTTTATATCTTGCAAAACTGGGTCACTGTAGGCTTCTGCGGCATATTTTGGTGGGGCATCGTCTCCTACCTCAAAAGGGGTCTTTGCACTTTCTCCCTGACGGCTCTGAACTTCCTCGCAGCCATCCGCAGAGGCCGAAGTTTCGAGCTGAAACTCCTGCAGACACTCAGTGGCCTTCCCGGCGAGTCTGTAGTCCTGTGGAGCGCCCTTAATGTTTCCAGTTGCTTTGTGGCTGTCGTTGCCGATGACGCTGTTTCTGTTTATGCTACCGGACTGCCATGCAGGCGCCTTCAAAAAGCGCAAGAGCCAAGAGACTGGGGTGGGGCGGAAATTGAGTGCCATCGGGCGCATAAAGAACAGGGAAGCACAAGAGTACGAAGTGGCCGCTGCTGAGTTCTTGCACATACCGCTGGATAATTCGAGTAGTACGCTTGGCGCTTGTTGACTTATGCTCGAAGGGTTAAAGTATGCGATTGTTGAAATATTGCCTGATGATGGTAGACGAAGTATGTACCGATTCGGGCACGCCACAGGAAAGCATGGCTGTTCGAGAAGCAGCTGGCTCATCTGCAGTTGCTGAATAGTCATGGTATTTCTGCTGTTGAAGCGTCCACGCACACTGATGGCTCGAAGCAGCAACACATCTTCTACAGCTACTTGGTAATCTCTCATGGTTGAACTTGACTCGTTCCAGTCTATTCCTCGCGGCATATCTGCATTGTTGTTAAGATTGTTAAGAAACACAGTCATTTTCTCACACTCAACAGAACCAGAAACGTATATTGGAATGATGCCACTGGCTTCAGTGTGCCCATCTGCCCTTTGGCTTCTGCTGAGTTCTGTCCTGGGGCCACCAGCCGCCGCTGGATCCGAGACAGTTCTTCTGCCGCAGCTTGAGTCCACACATCCCCTGGATGAAGTGGCGGTCTCCCTCCGCAACAAGGTTGTTTTGAGGAAATTGATGGCACTGCAGGCCGTAAAAAGAAGCAGATGCAACTTTAAACATATAGTTAGTTGAAATAGATTTTTTGAAGTTGAAAATACACCAAACCGTGGCAGTGCTACTTTCGAATCCACAGAACAACATCAGCGTCCTCTCACCTCAATAAAGTAGCGCATCCGTAGTGACTTAAAGAGATCTCGACCTCGCTAAAATTTCCATTTATGTCTACTTGTACTTCGCAGCGCAGCTGTGTTTGCCTGTCGCTGGCTCGGATGCCATACTGTTCCGGCCGGTGATGTTTCTGTTCCTGTAATGAATTCTGCGGCATCATTCCCTGAGTTTCCGTTTGTTTCTTCTCTGCTGTGTCACATCCGCGGTACGGATGGCAACCGACCGCAGTGGTGGAGGAGCTGAAAAACTGTGTTTGAAGCTGCTGCTGCTCCTTGAGAAAGCGGCTCAACTTGCGAGGCAGGAAAAGCTCCCTGGCATCGTAAACGTCAATGTGTTTTACCTCTACAACTGCCCTAAACTCGGAGGGGAGAAGGATGGGCTGGGCGACACCCTTGATCCCCCGGGGTAAAGAATGCTCTGTCTTATCCATGGGGCGACTCCTGGATTCACCGGACTCACGATGCCAAATTTTCCTTCTATGCCCACCAAATTTGTATTTCTGGGACCGGGACAAGTGCTCCCAATGACGTTGCTCCCTGCTTGACCTCTGAGAGGAGCACCAGGCACCTAGGCCACTTCTGCTCCTGCTTGAGTCATACGACTGGAGCGGCTCCAGTTCCTTCTTCAGCCGCTCTAGATCGCTATGGAATAGTATGTGGGAATCTCTCAGCAGCACGCCATGGTAGGTGATAACGCTGACGCGTCGCAAGACGCGAGCGCGCGCTGTGGCAGGAAAACAGGAGGCCTCTGTTGCCGGAGCCCCAGCAGCATGCGATCCTGCTGTTGAAGCAGTAAAGCGGTGGCCATACCGTTCATGGAAAAAGCTGTCGAAAAACTCAAGGTTGATTGACTCAGCATCATCTTCCTTTCCGCCAGTGGGCTGTAGTAATTGCTTCCGCTGCGCGCTGCAGACCTGCGTTTCATGCACGAATGTCAAACGAAACCCTACAAAGCGTTGTAAGCGTCCATCCTGCATGCAGCTCCACTAATAGGCGGATGAAGTAAAATCGGAGAAAAAGCGTTGATTCAGAGCATAATTCTACGGATGTTGCAGCTTACAGGCAGTACCTCTTTGATAAGATGAAAGGGGAAGCCAGCCTGATGTGAGATACTACAGTACCAGATTCAAGTTCAGAAAGAGCACAATGGAAGGGGCAAGTAAAAAGGGGAAAAATACAGGCCATTCTGCTTACTCTCAGCTCTCCAAGATGACACAGCACGGCCCTTCCCTCCAAGGCGGGGGCGATCACTGTTGGGGCCTCTATACAAACCGCATATCGCAGCAAAGCGCTCTCACGAAGTTGCTGCTGGCGTTTAGGAGAAAGAATCAGCTGTCTTTGCGGACCCACACAGCCTGCTGTCACCTGGAACCCAAGAAAGCCGCCACGAGCCTCCCTAGTGCATGTGCAATCTCTCTTCGTGGTTCCTTTCAGGTGCAAAAGGCTGCATTGCTGCGAGAATGCAGCCAAGGCTGTTTCTGCAACAGCAGCAGTAAATCGTTCTTGGATAGTTGCCAATCCCCCCAAAGCCTTTGGATCAAGTATACAAATGAGTCGACGGATCGTAAGAGACAAGAAGTTCGAGTCGCGCCCATCCACTTGCCCCTCAAACACAGTACCAACGCAATTCTGTGCAATTTGCACCGATAGCAATGCCTTATCTCCAATCTTATTGTCCTCAAACATCAGAGTCTGCTCATTCTGAAGACCCCTGCATTTGTAATTGATCCTCAGGTAGTCTACGGAGACGCTTCCAGTTACCTTATCGTCGCCAATGAGGCCATCCACACAGACTGGGCCTACGTTGCACACTAAATAGTTGTCTTCTGTCTGCTGTGACTCCTTCTGTTGCTGTGGAGGAAAGCGCTGTTGTTGATTCAGCTGCAGTTCAGTCTCTCGAAGCGGCTGTACGTCCGTGCAGAAGGTGACGGAAACAGAGCGCAGCAGCACGGAAGCTGACAACGTGTGAGCAGCTTGTGCGGAAGTGGAGCGAGGGTGCGCTTCGCTTTGCGGATTAGTTACCTCAGCTGAAGTCGCCGCTGCGGCTGCTGGTGGGGTATCTTCATGTGACGATTGGGACTGTCGCGGGGGTTGAAAGTCCAAGCAGTCGTAGAATATTTCATCGGCCTCCGAAAGATCAGAATCTTTGCGTGGGTCTTCTTTCTCGGCAATGTTCATAGCGCAAACAGCGGGCTCCACCTCTGTTACCGGAATCGTGGGGCATTCACGGCCCTCCTGTCGCGCGATTTCGGAATTGGCCCTCCCACCGTATGCAGTCAACCCTTGAAGTTGAGGGAGCCTATGGCTTGGTTCTTCTTTTCTGTGGCTTCTTTGAGGTGAATGAGTTGTGCTTGCGGCTGGGAGAGGTAGCGTTGCTTGGGATACTGCTCCTTGTTCTATTTGAAGCACTGAAGTGCTGTCGCCTGCGAAGCGCGCAGTAGCGGGCTGAAAACCGAATCACAGCAGCACCAACAGCACACGTCAGCGCCATGGGAACCAATACTGTCACCAAACAACTACGGAGTGCGTAACTCAAGCTAGATTACTAGAAGCATTCTAGCAAAGATGCAAAGCGCTCCGCTCGAGCCCGAAGCAAAGGCAGAGGGCACCTGAGAACGAGCATCGAAAAAGTAATCAAACTCTCCTGGCGGCGCCCCCTCTACAGAACTTCCCAGCTGCTCATGCTGCCGGTTGTTTTGCCACTGCTGCTGCAGTTCCCTCCCCTGTGTCTTCCGCTCTCCCCGCTCCTGGTGTCGTCGATGCTGCAGCCTATTCTGATCTAAGATCGCCTGCAGAGAAAGCGGAGGCACGGACGGACGAACAGAGCAGCCCGTTTTCCGGTCACTAAGGGTTGTTTCATTGGAGCCAACGGCTGCTGATGTGTTTCTCGTAGCTCCTGAGCCTTGTTGCGACCTTCTTTTCCCCCAAACAGGGAGCCAGTGTGCCCAGGTCTTCCCAAGGGCTCTTCCTGTCACTTCCGCTTGCTGCTCCACGAGATCCTGCCTTGCTGCTGAATGAGCTTGTAGGAGGTGTGGTAGCGGTAAAGTGTTTGCCAGGTGAAGCAACTGTTCTTCTTGCGTCGGTGTTAACGTGCCTTGCAGCTGCAGGCGTCGCAGGCAGCGATACTTTTCGGATTTTTCGGCGCATAGGCGCAACTTAAGGGTCTCTTCGACAGGCAAAAGTCCCTCCGTAGACACGGTCGCTTGTGAATTACTGGTGTAACCGTTGCGCGCGGTGATGCTCATCTCGCGCTGCAAGCGGCAAACCGCACGAATCGCGAATCGCCACCAAATTCCGGGATTTCCGTGCACTGAACACACATGTAAAGGAGAAGAAATTACAAAAAACTACGGATCAGCATGCGCACATACAAGTTGGTGAGAAGGAGAGCTGGGCTGGTCTTGCATGAGTGTCTTCCTTTATCCTGCTACCGCTCTGAGTTTGTCATCCTCATGCTTTGTTCGCAAGATCACTGACCAGTGCAAGATGGCGCGAATGGTCTTACAAGGCTGAGGACAGCCTCAGCTGTGTCAATGGCTCTGCGGTGCTCCTCAAAGCTTGCTACCAGCCATCGAAGACCCCGAATGCCTGCAGGGTTAACAGCAAGTTGCAGGCTCTCCGAATCGACTGTAGCGATATAGGCAGGGTCTGTTGTTGTAAAGAGCTTCCCTTGACTAAATGCTGCCTGGCAATTATCCATGAAGCTCCCGTTGTCCTCCCGTACTGCAACGCCCTCAACTCTGCTGCTGCTCCTGCCACTGGGAAGGTTGCCTTCAAGCAGGCCCTTCTTTCTTAGAGATATGTATACATTCACAGGAGCCAAAAGGCACCTGCTGTTTGTGCCCGTTCTGCGACATCGGCGCTGCTGTCCAGTAGGCGAAAATTTGCTCGTTGAGGAGAATCGACAATCTACTTCGCGCTGTCGACCTTCTTCAGACTGCAGCTGCTTTTCTTCTTTGCGCCCTGAGCGGGGATACTCATTTTCCTGGCGATATAACACTCGAGAAGCGCGGAGTTTCTCGATCATTTCAGTTACACAGCAAGTGTGCGGTGCCAGCAGAAGCAGCTCATTTTGAGTGTAAGAGGAGAAGCCTCTGACATTAAACTCACTGCAGAAGCTGTCTTTATTACTGCTACTGTGTCCCTCAATTCTGCCACCTTCAAACAATGGTTCTGTAGTGGCTTGGTGAAGAGAAGCTGCTGCAGCTTCCTGGATCCCTCGTTTCTCCTGTTGTTCTTCCCTTCTCATGCTAGCGCGTGGAACATTAGACTCCTCAGGTGGGACGGTGCGCATACGCAGCTCCTTAAAATGCAGCCCTAAAGCGAAAGCTGCCCTAGTGCAACTGCTGCTGCTCGTTTTGGAAAGGGGAACAAGGCATTCGACACGAATATGCAAATTAAGGACTTCTACAGAGGCCCACTGGATATGGCGGTCGATCCAGTGGGATATCACACCAGCCACATTTGCTGAAAGGCCACTAGGCTGTAGCAGTTGTTTTTGCTGTTGTTCGCTGTCTATACTATGAAGCAGCGATCTCCGCCTGCGAAGCGCCAATCCTAGTAACTGGTCCCTCGACCATTCCGTTGGTCTCGTTGGTGTCAATACAACAATGACATCCTTCAGAGAAAGAAGCAGAGAACCTGAATCTTTCTTGCTATCGTATTTGTTCCGCTCATCTGGTGCAAGTGGTGTCGTCGAGGAACAAGCCGGAATCCTCTCTGTTGTCCATGAACCTGAAGAGGTCGTCGTGTCTTTCCCGACGGACGCCGCAGCTGCTACAGTGAGCGCCCCCTGTTTCCCCATTTGCAGTTGAAGGTCACCTATGCTGCAGTGCAGCAACTGCAGAGGGGCTCCCACGAGTGATGTAAGCTCCTGCGGCTGCAGAGAAACACCGCTTAAGGTCAGCTGCTTTTTAGATATGTTTACTCTGACGCTTGCCGCAGTGGCACCCCGAAGCGCAGACGGGAGGACCCATGGCAAAAGCTGCCGCAGAGCAGCAGATAGCAGTTTTGACAATACAGAGGAGGTGCGGCTGTCTTCTTCATTAGTTTTGGGGGCACTCTCGGGCATATGTCCTGTCGAAGCTGCCGCAGCCAGGACTGCTGACATGGCTGCTCCGACATCATGCTCCTGCTTTAATTCCTGCTGTACACGTCCGGCCGCAAATAAATCAATTACTTCATTGCAATGGCCAGCATGCATGTCAGGTCCTACAATTTTGCCTGTTTCAGTTGCTGTAGTTGCTTCCGCTGGCGTGATTTCGGTAGGTGCAGTTGCTTGTTCTCCGCCTGATTCTGCAGCCTCTGTTGGTTTTGCGTCATCATTTGCCGCACTTTCTTCTCCTCGTTCTGCGTTTAGAGATTCTGCACCGATTCCAGTGACGGTGTCTGCCGTACAGCGTGCTTTGTTGCCAAAGCCTGCGGCAGCCAGCGGCTGGCTGTCTGGATGCTGTTCGTCGGCTTCCGTCTGCCCATGTCCCTCAGTATACATCTTTGCCACAGGCATTCGGGCGTCCCCGCATTTTGCAGAACTGCAGGGCCGTGTCACAACCTGGAAGGGGGTGGGAAGGAGGTCGCTCGAGGTAGTTGCTCTTTGATGCTTCAAGTAGATGCTGAATTCCTGTCTTTTGTGGCGGCAGGCAACTAAAATACGCCTCTTGCATTCGGTACTTCGCAGCTTCAAGTGACAATTGCAGTGGCAGCAGCACCTCGTGCACCAGACTGTTTCACCGGTGACAGAAGCCAACCTGGAAGGCCCCGAGTTTGTCTGAAACCAAAAAATGATGCAGAAGGCTCACACCACGGTCTTGATTAAATTCTTCCCTTAGATTTGCTCAGCCGAGTACTCCTAAATGCTGGCTTCTCTTTGAGGCGCGCTAGCTCGCTGCAAGCTGCTTGAGGTGGAGCCCTTTGAGTCTTCTTTCCTTGTTTGCATCCCGAAAGTGCATAAAGAAATGCGAAAATTGTCAAGAAAAGTCCCAGCACGGTGTACAAAAGAAAGTGGCTTTCCGCCCTGGGGGTCTGGCGCAGCCGAATCGACGTGACGTATGCCCAAAAGGCAAAAGTAACGCAACGCTTCTCTGTTTTGACAATGAAACACTCTCTCATTCCCCAAATCAGAAATGTAGAGGCTTTATTCTCAAGGGTGCGGTCTCTGTCAAAAAGAGCGGGGCCCCCCCAGGAGCACAAGGCGCTCGCTGTTTGCTGCCTGTGTATATGTCCCCAAATTTGCTACTGCAAGAAGTGAGCGGTTCATTTTCATGACGTAACAACCTGAGCAAGTTGAGAAATCGAAGGACTAGTGAATTCCGGGCACCAGTAACTGGGGGCGCATTCTGCGTCCCAGCATATGGCACACTTCGTTTACACGTGCTGCCCCAATCGATTGCACTCATGCTCTTGCGATCCAACAGCGACATGTATTTCCAGTTAACGCTACTTGGCAAATCTGATGTAGTGTCTTCAGCATAGAGGTTTGGGTGAAAGCCCTTCCTTTTTAGAGGAACACAGGGTGGGCCGATATTTCTCACTCAGGGTCCGCAAAGGACGGCTTCTTTTGAGTGTTCTGACCGTGTTCACGGCAAACAGCCCAGTCCAGCATCGAAAAAGGAACATTTCGAATGCGGCATGATGCCGCCGACAGACGAAAGCGGCATGGTTAGACCGTGTCAAATACTGGGCATAGACACCAGAGACTCAAGCGCTTGCTTTTCCCTTCTATACGACTACAGGTTTCATATGTATTGTTCCCCGAAACCAATAACTCATCTGGAAGATGATGCGACTGAAAAAGTACCTCAGGCTTGAGGGGAGAGATGTAAATAGGCTTTCTTTTTCCCCCAGCCACGTTCCACGGACAGGTTTGCCGAGCTAGGGGCTCCAGGATTGGCTCGTGCATTCAGATTATTTCGGCCAATGTAGAGCACTAGGTAGTATTATGCAGAGATTATACAATGCGAAGCTTGAGTGTTTCGCTTCGTGTACATGGGTTACCAGATATCTTGAAAGTTCGTGCACTTGGTGCTAAACATATTCGAAAAACCCGGTACAGTGCTACCTTCAGTTTTATTTGCCCGCACAGTATCGCAATAGTGTCCATAGCAGGTAACAGCTGAGCATGAGGCTGCATCGCTAATGATGATGTCCGCTAATGATGGTTGATATAAAACGAAATGATGACACATTGCCTCATCCTGTTCGTTGTTAGAAAAGTAATAAGCAACTGTTAGGCATTCGTTGGTGAACAAGGCCTTAAGTGGGTGAACGCGAGTTGTGTCGCTTCTTCGCAGAGGCTTGCATATTAAGTAGAGGTAGACTCACGTAGGCAAACGCTGGCATCGGGATGCTCATATGTGGGACTGAGAGTAGCACAATCGCGCACCCTATAGCTTTCGATTGCTACTGATTATTCTAGGTGCGGTGAAATTTTTATTTATCATGTACGGCAAGTCAGTATGCAGTGTGCCCATGATGGCAGTGCTTGTTTTTGAGACACTAGTGCACAGAGGTGAGCGGTTCCACGCTACGACTCGTTGAGCTGCTGCAAATAAGTGGGTGCTTGATGAACAGTAGACGCCGTAAACTGGAGGCTAGCAATAATTGAAGTCATGCGCCCAGTGAAATGATAACGCCAACAAGTTCTCGTACATTGAATATTTCTGCACAGCCAGGCTCAAAACATGGCTGAGAAAGAGGGTTGGTTTGTGTTCTTTTTCCAGAACAGCCGCTATTGCGGAGCCTGGGGCGTGGGTTGTTCAGGAACTTCCCCTGCTACAGACCCTGAGGCGTCCATGAATACCCCGAAAGGCTTCGCTGTATCGGGAACTTGCAAAGGGCGTACAATTCATTATGTACTGCTTCGGGCGCTGTAGAGTGTGGTTGTGAAGTTTTGCCCACTGGGAAGCGTCATCCTTGCACGTGAGAATATAACTTGGACGAGCAAAGCCTGCGAACTCAGAAGCTATGAACATGGGGCAGAAGTTGATAGCACCGAGGAATAGTTACACTTGTCGTTAGCCAGCTCCTACCACAACCGAATAGCGTGTAGCTTGGCAACGACTGGGTTGATACACTCAGGGCTGACAAAGCAGCATAGACAGGTGAGCCCTTTGTCCAGCAAATTCGTATTTGCGTGCCTTTAGGATTGAATCAATGCTTCAGAAAGATGATGAACTCCTGCTGCAAAATTTTAACGTTGTTGGAGAGATCAGGGCTATATTTTAGTACGTTGTCTAGATAACCGGTGGAGCACTGACCAAGCAAATGCTGTAGATGCCTACTGATATCAATTTGGAAGGTAGCCAAGGCAAACTTGATCTTGAAGGGTATAGCCAATTACTCAAGTTATCGCGAGACTGAGCGAATCACAGTCTTCCAACGGTCATTGCTGTCCATAAGATTATGATGAAATCCCGCTTCGAGATCATTTGTATGGAGATACGTAGCTGTTTGGCGCATCTCTAGAACGCTTTTGATAGGTAGCAGAGTAAAGTCAGAAACATCAATAGGGGCGTATCATGCTTGGTAGTTGACAGTCACGCACACTTTCCTGTCTTCTGAATCATCTTGCCTCCTGTAAACCATGATATTCGATGCACAGGTTGAGAAAAAGGAAGGGCCCTTTTTTACCATCAGCTTATGAAATGTGAACCGGTCCGGCGTCATCCTGTACATCAAGACCTTGGTCGGGAACTTACTGATCACCAGTAGGATGTGATGATAATGTTAACGCTGTGGTGGCAATGCTGCCTATAACTATCGAAGAACACTGCTGGATGCAGTTTAAACATCGCAAGTATCTGATGTTCTTGATCTTCTTCAAGCACCTCAAGTATGTGCCGAGTTGCTGCATTCGCCCTGTTTGACGAAATTCAGTTTGAGGATGGCGGTGGGCTAAGGTGGCTCTTACTCGTCAGTCGCGCCTTCTCTGTAGGCCGAAAGTGAGATTCAGGACGTACGCACACACAGGAGCGGCCTTTGATGCTCTTCGTGTACGTGAATGGAGGATAGCTTTCCCAGGCCCGGCAAAACCAGCAGGAGACCAAGTCCCTGAAGTGCGCGTGTTAACTTGGACGTCGTGCAGTAGCTCTTCTATTGGGAGCCTCAGCTTCGCGTTGCGGTGTTCCTTATGGTGCTTGAGAGTGGGGCAAAACGGCGTATCTTTCCTTGCCGCAGTTATTTGGGAGACGTCCTAGGCCAGCATCTCGTGTGCGTGCTCCACTGGTGTACTCGCTCTCACTTTTTGTGGTTATCTTTTGTGTTATTTTGGTTGCTGGACTGTATCGCTGACCACTCACGTAGCTCCTTAGTTTATCTGACTTAGAATGCCAGAACACCTGTTAGTCCCTTAGCTCGCCTAGTCCAGGATAAAGTCATGAGGTGCAGTTTCCCCGAGGAAACACCCGTTATTCATCTACTACCACACCACGTCGACAGCCCCTTTATCGCGTGGTCGGTGTGTAGCGGCTCTTTATTGGCCATGGCGAAACGACAGGCTTTGTGTGGGCGACGTAGCACGAGGTTCCTCATCTGAAGCATGATCGAGCTAGTGAAACTGCACGGTGAGCGCTCGCCCACAGTCGCTTCACGTTCATGCCTAAGTATCTCAGAGAAAAGCTTAGCTCCCTTAACCACGCTGCACAGTAGCCTCCAGCTGTTACGTGCCGTGTACAGCTACTGGTATCCCATCTGCGGTGTCATTTCCACTTCAGCTCTATTGGGAACCCCATGCGGCTCGGTGGCCTTCCCTCTGTGCTACTTAACAGTCGTCACGCTAGCAAAGTCTACCTTTAGTGAGCTCCGCTTCCCTCTTTCAACATAAGCCTTGGCCAGTGCTGTAGCATCCGCATATAAGGCATCGGCTAAGTCTTGCATCAGGTGCCATGGCTTCCAGCTTGGGGAGACTTCCATGGCTTTCGCCCTTATCGCTGGTGCATAGGAGATTCGTCTCCCGCAATTCCCATGCTTTGCTGTTGCCTTTGGTGGCCCTTATCCTGAGACCTCTCAGTGCCCATGGTCACTTCTTAGTATGTAGGTCTTGGCCTGTACAGGCTGGCACAGTTTCTACTTAATGGCCCTTACCCCTGCGCCTCTTGCAGGTTTCACCTGAACGGAGAGCTTTTAGTTCCCATGAGGGGAAACCTTCCGCAACGTGTCCGTATATGTTATATTCAGCGCACATCATGCTGCTCATGCTGCCCGTCAGGGGGCAGCGCACTCTGTCGCCTTCGTTTGCCTGAAGTTAGTTGCCCCTCTCAAGACATCCACTGGGACCGAGCTCTAATTCGCCTCCTTGTTTCCTCCGCTATTCCTCTGCTGCAACCCACACGCCTTACATTGCTGCTATCTCCGCTTTTGCTTCTCTTCAGCTCTTGAAATTGATGGTGGGCCCTTTCGTTAGGACACTGCACATCTTAACTGACACACTAGCCAAGCAGTGTTCCACGACACCTGCTGCAAAGAACTATTTCTCTCGCTCAACAACCTTCACAAAGGCAGCCGAGTACTTCCGGCGGTCTCCTTGCCGCCAATTAGCTGTAGCCTGTCAAATAAGGGCAGCGCAGCTGCTGGTAGTGTAGAGGCGTAGCACCATGCGGCACTTGACTCTCACCTATCATTTCACGTCCGGTCCTGTTCCCTTTAGGTAGGTTCAGTGTACGACAGCATCACCACATAAGTTTGCCGTAAATTCGTCCCCCCAGTAAGTTTTTTCGGGTTCCACCCTCATGAGTCACATCGTTGCTACACTGAAAAAGGGTTTCACGTGGCCATCTTCGTTCTGCGACAGTCGTTGTGATGTTGGTAATGCCCCTCGTTTCACGTTCAAAGGGAGAATGAAACTTTGCGGCTTCTCCAGCTAGCTCTCCAGTGGGATGAACGAACGGCAGCGTAGTGCCCTCTCTGATGTGATATCTGCAGGTCCATTATTTAGGCCTTTGACTGTTCTCTTCTTTTGTTTTAGGGGTTCTACAAGGTTTGCTTTCTATTGCTTCCCCGATGCGGACCCACAGCGTGCATGTATGACCAGACCGTTAAAAGGTCCATCTCCCACACATCCTTCCCGCGTTCTCAGGGTGCGTTTTATGTGTGAGTTGCTCTTTATAATGTGGAAGATGTAGCGTAGGTAGGAGTCGGTAAGCTGTAACCGTCCACCGTTTACTAAGAAGCTTTTTTCCCCAGCTCAGCTTTCTCAGCAGAAATCTGAAACAATAAACACCCTCATGTTTTAGCCTGCTCTGCTTAACATTTCCCTTTCATAGCATAGGCCTGCATAAACTGTTCTATCGCGTTTGCTGCAACAGCCTTTGCTCTTCATTGAAGCGCCTAACACGCAGCAAATGCTGTTGAGGCGGTAACAGTTTGCAACGGTTTGCTAGACCGTGAGAAAGCATCACTTAATATCGAAACTTGATTTGTGTACTATTTTTCAAACCGCACACAAATTTGCGAACACAAGTGATGGCAAATGGAGCAAAAGAGCGCTCGATCCACTTTGCGGCACTGCCTCGCTTAGGCCGCTACTCTGTTTTTCTAGCCTTTTCCGAGTGCTCTTACAATGCTGGGTATTCTTTCACTACGGAACTCGCGCTGATGCTGCGCGCGCCTATGGACCAAGTGTTGCTTAGGAACCCGTGGAGTCTGTACTTCGGAGCTATCACCGCATCTACAACTACACTTAGTGGATCCACGACTGGGTTCCCAGAGGCCTGTGAGCTTTATGAGCTGTTTTGTTCAATTGGCGTATGGTAGTTGACAGGTGCCCTACCAGCTCAGCAGCGGGGGCGCATCGAACGCCGTAGCAAATGCAACCAGTCCCTGACTTCCAAAACTCGGCAAAAGCGAAGAGGTGTAGTTTTGGTGAGTGGCGGGAGAACATGAAAAAGAAGTGGGTTAACGGTTTGATTATGGGGTGTCAGAAACCGGGGTAAGCACAGGGACTTAGTGTCTAGAAATCAAAATGCCAAGATTGAAAACGTGCGGCGAAAATAAGGTTAGCGTGCGGCGAAAATAAGGTTAGCGCTAGAGGAAAGAGCAGTGGTAAGAAGACTAAAAACTGGGCGTTTTCATATCCTAGCTATAGTTTCCTCTGTGCCTGCGGTCTAGTAAAGCCATAGTACGTTCGAGGGGTCAGCTTTGACGCCACTGCATGTGCCATGATGAGCCCTCGCCTTGCTCTTCTTATTTGTGTTTATTTGTCTTTGCAGTTTTTCAATTGGTATTGCTGGGAGTTCTGGGAAATCCTAAAGCACACGCTCAGGTAGCCTCGATGGGAACGGTGGGCAACTCCACTACTGGCAATCGTCCGCAGAGGTCCTTCATGAACTTCCGCCGTCACTTTCGTTTATTGAATATCACTGATATTAAGAAGAATTGCTCTCCATTGATTGTATGCTGCGGGGCTCACCTACCACCGTGTTTCCGCCAGTCACCCCTGAGAGCTGGAGCAGGGATGCCATCCTTTGAAGCTTGCAAGACTGTGCAAAGATATTTCGTATGTCACCATTGAACAGTAGAGAAGAAAGAGTGCAGCAGACAGAGGAAGTTGTCGAGATGAATCTGCTCGCCTAATAGACACAGTGTTTTGCGGAGTAAAGTTCACTGGTCTTTAGGAATTGTTTCCCGAACACGGAGGTTCCCTTGGAGCGCAGAGAGCGTCGTGCCATCAGATAGGGATCGTCTTACGTGCGGAATGCTCTCATCGCAACCTCAGGGCCGGGGCGTATCCCCTCCTGTACGGGAGTTCGGAGTCCCCACGGTTTGCGCAGCATGCGCAGTGATCGCTGGGGCCACTGTGGCCCTGCAAGCTTCAGGTGGGATGCGAGGCAATGTTACTGTCATAGCTGTGGAAGTTGGTGCTGTCGTGGCATTGACTGGCTTCCTTGCTTGGCGTTTTCTGGGTGGTAGTGCTTCTGGAGCCGATAAGGATATGCAATGCGAACCAGCGAAACTAAAAGATGCCGATGCCGTCAAGCCGCAGCCAGATAACGGCTGTTGTAAAGGTGCCTGTGGTTTTGCCTGTGAGGGAGAGGCCGAGGAAAAAGAAGTGGGAGAAGCAGATATCAGCGGCACCGACCTGGAGGACTTACGAAGTAGCGATGATGACATGAAAAGAGCTGCACGCGTAACGGGTCTGTACACGTACATTCAACCAAGTACGACGAGGCGACGAACTACAAAGCAGATGGACAGCGAAGGCAATCAAACCAGTGACAGGGATAACTCGACGACTGCAACGACTCCCCCATCATCGGCTACTCACGCTGTTGAAGGGGCCTTTCTTCCCGGACGCGCTAAGATTTTTTTTAAGACTTTCGGGTGTTCTCACAACATATCAGACTCGGAGTACATGCGTAGGTACTCCTTGTGCTCACTTTCTCTACTCGTTCAGTGTTTGTGGCCTCCTAGTAGAGTGGAATTGTGGATGAGACTCAGAGGGCTGGTGTTGCCCACAGATATCACAGAGGCTGCCTTGCTCGGCATGTGGAGTGTCTTGTATACTTTCCCTTATGCAATATGATGTTCATGTAGTTTGTTTTATGCAACATGGCATTTCTTGCCTTTTCGTTGATTGTTCCAGAATGCGGCTTGTGCGTGCTTCTTCGGATATTTTTTGGTCTGCAGAAGGCCTGCTGCACGAGTCGGGTTACCGCTTTGTAGACTCTCTGGAGGAAGCAGATATTTGTGTGGTGAACTCCTGCACAGTGAAAAGCCCATCAGAGTTCGCTTTATATTCAGTCATCAGAGCTGCACTGGGCGAAATACCAAACAATGTGGAGACCACAGGAACCAGTAGTACGAGGCAACAAGGAAGGAATGCCTATTCGTCTCAATCCATCATGGACAATGCACATAGGACCAATGACAGTGGGACCCACAGCTTGGTGGAACAGCAGCAGAAACAACAGCACGAAGAGCAGCGCCAACGGGAAGAAGCAGATCCGCAAAGGGGACAAACGCGCACAACTCGGAGACTAAAACGGAGGATCCCCTGCGTTGTGGCAGGCTGCGTTCCTGGGGCATCCAAGGGAGGCAGACGAGACCAAAGCACACGAGAGGCACAGCTGTCCTGGAAAGACGCGTTGCTGTCTCAGTGCTCAATCGTAGGTGTAGCATGTATTGGGCGGATTGTGGAAGTTGTTGAAGAAGCACTTCAAGGTAGAATTGTCCACCTCACGAGCGGCAAAGGGTGAGGTGTTTCAACACCGCAGTGTGCCCCTCATGGCCTTACAACTGTAGTCTCGAGCAATTTGCACAGGGAAAGCGGGGGTAATCAGCTCCTTAGCAGATTGCGTCTCACAACCTCGATTTAAATTGTTGTGAAACTGCAAGCTGGTGGAGGGCACGGAAGAGCGCATGATTCGGCAGTTGGAGACATTCATTGTACGATGCAGGGATCCTCGATGTTGTGAGCGTGAAGTTTTGCAGCTGTTGTTTTTCCTGTGCAGGCTCCCGCCCCTAAATTTACCGAAGATTCGCCGGAATCGTCTTATAGAGATTGTTCCCATTAGCACAGGCTGCCTCGGCAATTGCACTTACTGCAAAACAAAGCATGCAAGGTGCGAGAGGGCGTCTTTCATTCTTCGCTGTGAGAATAATAAAAACGTCTTTCGCCCCTCTAAAAAATGCAGCAGCGAGCTTTTCATGGACATCTCAAGCACCACCACTTTGCATTGGTAGATGGACACATTAATTAGTCATTCACCGTTGCTCGGTTTCTCTGCTGCTGGCCATTATGATGACGCAGGGGTGACCTGGGTAGTTACCCCGAGGAGGTTATTGAATCCCGAGTTAGCAGTGCCTTAGAAGAGGGCGCAACTCAGATCTGGCTTACGAGCGAAGATACAGGTAGGGAAGCTGTGTGGCTGTGGCATCACGAGAGAAAGAGGATCTCTCTTCCCGGAGGGCCGCAGGTCTTCCCCTGGTAAAGAGCACAAAAGTCACGAAGGCTTGGTGCTTAGATTAGTCCTTTGTGTTTTTGTGCCAGTCTCTCTTCTTTATTGGAGGTGGTGTGTACAGGGGTGTACAGGAGTAAAAGTAGGGAACAGTTGTTCTCGTGGTTGTATATTTGTGGATCTTCAGGAGCTTACGGCTTGGATATAGGCAGCAGCCTCACAAAGCTTCTCCGTCGCCTTCTGAAGTTGCCCCTTCGAGAGGAAATTATGCTGCGCGTGGGGATGGGGAACCCGCCGTTCTTGCTGGGTCAGCTAGCGGCGGCGACAGACATTTTAGGCCATCCGAATGTGTTTGAGTTCTGTCACTTGCCGGTGCAATCCGGGAGCAACCGGGTCCTCAGTCGTATGGTCCGTTCAGCACTTACAGTATCCTTGTTTGAAACTCAGAGGCTTTTATTTGCATTGCTTTTCCAGAGGAACCGAAGTGCTTTTATGGTTTCGGGCTGGCAACTTATCTGTATGCACAGGAGTGGTGTCTGTCAGGTGCTGCAGGGTATTTTGTTGTACACGTTCAGTAGTTATGGCTTAAGATGAAGAGTTGTCCAGTTACTGCGGCCACGTTGTCTGTCTGCCGGTGTCTTGATTTGTACACAGAAGCGTGACTATACGGTAGAGCAATTCAAAACAGTGGTAGATGCGTGCCTTCAAGCCCACCCAAGAATGAGCATCATGACTGATGTCATCTGCGGCTTTCCGGGGGAGACAGAAGAGGACCACCGCCAGACTTTGCAGCTGTTGTCGGAGTATAGCTTCCCCGTGCGTTATTCTTAGTAGCACTGCTTTGGCACCGCAGCAGGACACTTTGGCAGATTTTTGCCCGGTTGTTTCTCATTATTTCATTATGATAGCCTTAGTGTTCAAGTGGAGGTTGTTGCTTGTGCATTCGTGCAGGCAGTCAACATCAGCCAGTTCTACCCCCGCCCAGGCACCCCAGCGGCAGCAATGAAGCAACTCCCGTCGCAGGTGGTCAAGCGACGCAGCAGAGAAGTGACGCAGCTCTTCGAATCCTATACTTGCTACGACTGGATGGTCGACACAGTTCACAAGGTGCGTTTTAGCCACGTCCAGGGCTGGTTTCTTACAGGCGTACGCAGCAGTGGCTCGTCAGGCGGGAAGGACGTAGGAATTTTCAGGAGGCAAGGTAGCTTTGTTCAGAGTTCGGGCGAATTTTTCCAGCTTATGGCCATTCCCAGGATGTACGCGCAGGTTCTCGAAATGGTGTGCCGTCCACATTGTCTGTTTGGCGAGGTTGCTTAGGTTTGGTTCTCTTTCCATTCGGATCGCAGCGACCACACAGTTGGCCACACGAAACAATACGTCAAAGTCCTTGTGGACAGGCACGTTTTTTTCGCCCTATAGTCCTTCCTATTTTCCACATATTACATAGCTTGAGTTGTGAGCACTGTCTTTTTGTGGTTGCCGCTCGTGGTCTCCGCGACATCTTGCAGTGTATAAACCCGTGTGCTTTGTGCCGTCAGCATCAACATGTTTTTTGAACATCAGTATCATTCTTTCTTTTCAGGGACGAGGCGCTTTTGGGGCGCGTCTGCCTTGTGCGGATAACTTCGGCTTCAAAGTGGCACTGCTGGGGAACTCTTTGTGGCCCCACGTCTGCCTGACTCTCACGTGACATCTGGCGTCCTATTGTTGCCCAGTTATGAGAATATAGCATGCATCAGACTAACAGCTAGAATAATAACGATTGGGGATTGCTATTGAGGGCGTTATGCTGCTGATGCTCAGCAACCGCGGAGGGTGTGCAGGGACAGCAGGTGCCGTACATATTCCTGCTTGTCGCGTTCCTTGCGGCAGTAAGATTCGTGTTGTTTTTTTTTTCAAGCGAAATAGTGCATTCTGTGAGTTGCTTTGACAGAAGAGGAAAGGGACCTCGACAGCTGCTACATGCTCACATTACTGGGTCCTGGGTAAAGCGAACAGCTTTGGGAAAGAGATGCAGCCAGAGTTGTGTTGGGGGACTGTTTTTCCTAGGGGAGCTTAATAGAGCGTTGGCGGGTCCACTGATGATGATTTTTGGCTTGCTTCTTTTTCTGTACGTCTTTCAAACGAGTTACTTGTACTTGAGGTATGCAGCTGGACCAAATGTATGAAAAGCATCTACTGCCGAAGGTACATTGGTACTAGGCGGTGTAGTTTTACCTGTGAAGCAGGATCACGCAGAAATGCACGCCGAGAGAAGACTCTGCTCGACAGGGGACGAGTAGCCAATCGTATGTATGCAAGCCTTTGAAGCGTCGCAGTGCGACACAAGAGCACTGATGACAGTGATTATGAGTAGTGATTCCGCATCATTTCTGTGAATATGACTAACATAGAGTTCCGGAGGCTTCCAGGGAGTCGAAGAGGAGACTGGGGTGTCCGTTGCTCTCCCGAAGGAAAGCCCAGCGCAAGCACTTGCTGCCGAAAGTAAAACACTTTGCCTGGATGTATCCTACTAACGCTGAACCGACAATAGCGGGAGTATGAACGGGCACCACAAGTCCAACTTCTGAAAAGAAAGGTTGAAAATGAGAGGGAAGCTGTCAGTGAAGGATTGCCCGTGGAGCCGAGCATGAGGTACCTAGGGGCGCACACGGCTAGCAAATGCACAAAAAGCATCTACTGCCGAAGGTACATTTGCACTGGGCAGCGTAGCTTTGCCTGCGAAGTAGGAACACGCAGAACACGCAGAAATACAAGCCGAGAGGAGCGAGTTCGCCATCAATCGTTTGCCATGTATATTGCTGATGGTGGAGTTAGTAATTGGCTCTCGGTTTGCACCACTTGCCGCTGTTCAGCAGGCGTTGTACTGCGAACTCAACTCACTGCTCTGACGGTGAGCCTCTAAACTGCCATGCCGGGGGGCACTCTAGAAGGGTTCAATATTAGATCGGTAGTCGTCTTTGCCCCGCAAATTTACCAAGAGTTTCATGTGTAGCACGCTAGGATTATAAAGTAGGAACTGTTTCCCGTTTGCAGAAGCTCTGGAACCAATGATCCGAGGAGCCTTGGGCCTTACTATGTTTTGGAGCCGATACAAAAACAGATCTTCCAACTTTCCGGGAGTCTGTAGTAGCTGCCTGTGGGGCCTTCTGAAACTATGTGTATCTGTGATAATCATCACTACAACCGCAAGTCTCTTTGCATGGGAGGCTTTATTGTCTCATACCTAACGCAAAACAAAAACCACTACAAAACCTTTTCATTCTTTGGGGCACCACTATTTAGTAGTACGTTGATTTGATTGGTTAATTTGCTAAATTTTAAACGGATACCATAGGCGTTTCTCTGCTTGACCAACAATGGCGATACTTTGTAGTGGCTAGCCGTCCATCGAAGGCCACTTTGCCTGAAGATCCCACCTCGCAGTTCCTTTGCAGATCCGCTGGGGCTTGGCTGTAAAAAGTCCGTAAATATATATTAGCGCCTTAAAGCGCTACACCTAAGAACACGACTGCAACACTTTAGAGCACGTGTCGAACCATCCCAACAATTTCCGCCATACGCAGGCAGCATCTTTTTGCTCGAAGGTTGCGGGTGGTTGTCTTCCTTGCAAATTGCACTCTTGAAGCATTGAAAAGTGCGGCCTCGCTATATTGGTGCCCTTGAAGTAGCGAAGAAAAACTGTGCGAATGCAAGGCAAAGAGCAGTAGAGGCGACCGAAGAGGAACGACGAATATGCATTAGAGGGGCTGCCTCGCCTAATCCGCTGGCAACTCAAACTTCAGACGGAGCCATTACTAAAGTGAAGATCTTGCTTGACAGAAAAAGTGTGTGAGTCACAAAATTTCCATAAACTTCACTGATGTGGTCGCCCAAGGTAGGTAGTGAGTGATCCACTGTGAATTTCGGCACCACAGCCCCAACTGCTGTTCCCACGTCCTTGCACAATAATATACTCCGCTTGCAAAATATTTTTTAGTAACTCTGTAGTTCTGTTTTCCCCTATATTGAAGGGCATTTTGTGCTGGCTCAGAGCCCACTGTGTATTGTGTAGCACAGAGATGAGCTCTAGTAAGCCCGGCTTCCAGGAATTCTACACTATTGGCATTGGAAAGCTTGTTAGGTTATAGCAAAGACTATGTACACCATTTTTGTCAGGGAGCCAGGCTCTGATATGGCCACTCCGTCCCGCATGGACTCTGAGGCTGGAGTGGCCGCCTCCCGCGTTTCATTGCCGTTTCTCAACGTTTCGTAGGCTGCGAAAGCTGTCTGTTTCCTCCACGTGGGCCGTCTCCTCGTTGTGTATCTTCGCCTCCCGGATCATGCTGCGTGTTATACAGAGATGGCTCTTCGGTTTTCCTCTCTCCCTAAGTGCTTTTGTACGACCCCGCCGCGGACAACCTGGGGCCTTGTTTCACCGTCCCCCTGCGAACTACCTTCGCATGTGTCTCTACCCCTGGTGCAGTTTTCTTATGCCTTGTCAGCTGCGCGCAAAAAAGCTGTCTGCTCCCCTTCACCTGTTTTGAGGTTGCGTCTTACACGCGTCGCAAGATGGATAGGAGGCTCACCGAATCATCGAGCCGCTCCTTCTAATCACGCTGAACGCATACAAAATAGTTTACTAGACACCCAGTGGCAGTGGGCAGCGCGAAGGGAGATGGGCACGCTAGCTCACGAGGGGACTACTCCTTCGCCCCTTACGAAGCCGAAGGGAGAGAGCCGCGAAGTAGCTTGCCTCTCGAGGCCCGTACCTCTACGCCGCAGATTGCGTTCTATTAGACATCTCGATCCAATATTACAGAGACAAGTGCTTAAGGAGAATCTCGGGAGGCCTCGTTGCCAGCGAGCGCAGCGTTTGTTGAAGAGAGGTGAATTAAGCTTACTCAGGCCCTGCGTTTTCTTCCCCATTGGGCCACTGCCTTTCTTTTCTGTAGCCCCTAGAGAAGGCCGCTGTTCATGATTACCGAGTCAACTGCATCGCTGTGTGACATGTACATCGGTGTTTTAGGTGATCCCCACTCAGTATCGGCGCGCTGCCCTCTCTTCCTCAGTCAATTAAAGCCTCGCCTACAATTATGGAAGAAAGCCCTGACTGTGGACGAGCTCCCGCCCTCTTTGTATCCCGAGGTACCGTTCCTTCAATCAATGCAGTATCCTCCTTCGTGCTTCTGTCCAGGTTAAGTAGGAAAATGAGGGGAGGGGGATGACAGTGAATGAGAGAATGAATCGACTGCAATCCTGTGGTGGCTTCGTAGTATGCTTACGGGCGGCTTTTGTGATGCCGAGTAAATGATGACGCGCCTCAAAGGGAGACGTCGGTATGCATATTGACCCGTTGGTTACAAGTGCTGTGGTCCATTCGGGGCCATATGTTGTCTGTTGGCTCTAAACAGTTCAGGAAAGGTCCTGTGCGCCTTGATTGTGCTCTTGTTTACGAATGCCGCAGGTCGCGTTCGCGGGGAGGTCTAATGCAGGGAAGAGCACCCTAGTTAATGAGCTCTGTGGACGCAGCGGCACCGCCGCCGTCTCGAGGAGACCAGGGAGTACCCAAGAGCTGTTTTTCTTCAAGGTGTGCACTCAATTTTGCTGCAAAGATAAGGATCACTGGGCTGTTGACGATGCTGCCGGCTGCCTTGGGTACAGCGCTTTTCGGATCTTGTAGAGTGCACATGGCTACAGCGTAGCAGACACATAAAGCTTCAAAATACACCGGGAAAGCCAAACAAGGGCGAGGCAAGGCTAACTGAAACGAAACAGAAAAGTGGATGAGAAATACAAAGCGAGAGATACTGATGGATAGCGAATTGATTGGAATAGACGGACGGCGGAAAGAGGACGTGCCGGCCAGGAAGGTGCTATTCTCGAAAAAGCTTCAGGTTTCTATTTGCGCTGAATTGTAGGCCGGATCTCCGTGCTCTTTGTGCCTAGTGGATCTTCCTGGATACGGCTACGCCGAGGCACAACCGTCGAAGCGATTACAGTGGACAGAAATGTGTTTATTTTACCTAAGGACCCGCCCGTGAGTATCCTGCAACGCTTGCACTACGCTTACGGACGCGAGCGACGGAGCTCAAGCTGAGTAATCAGAATCATCAGCACTGACAGCGTAGCGGCCCTCGTTAGGGCATAAGTTGTTCCGTCCCGCTCCACCGAGAGGCGTTGGATAGATCGTAATTTTCTCTGTAGCGTTGGGCGTTTCAGATTTCCACACTTAGAGGGACGGAGTCGTCAGGCATGGTTTGGCAACTGGCTGGTAGTGAGGAATCCATTCTGAGCTCTAAGTAGAGTGTTCTTTTTGCTTCTCACGTTGCTTCTGCCGGAAATTGTGCTCAGAAATCTCAGACGAGTCTTTCTGCTCGTGGACGCCCGTTGGGGGTTGAAGTCGAGCGATCTTTGTCTACTGTCCTTCTTCGAGCGCCACCACGTCCCCTATCAGATCGTACTGACAAAGGCTGACCTGCCTGAGCAAAAGTCTCTCATAAAAGTCCTTCAGCTTGTGGGTCTAAGGTTCCCTTTGAAACTTACCTTGGGCTTTTATTGTCTTATTTCTCAGCCGTGGGCCCGTGCATGTTGCGCTCGTGGAAGCTTTCTTCGGGGACAAGGGTTGCTGTCATTTTTGGGCCCAACAATTCCTGGAGGTAAGCTGGCTATGGGAAATATGAGAGTTGCATTCGGTGGTGGGTCTTGTCTCAGGTGACAGAAGAAGTCAAGAGATTTAAAGGATGCGTGGGCCCCCCCTTGGCAGTTAGCGCTCTTCGCCACAGGGGCCTTAACCCCCTTCGTGCAGAAGTTGAGAAGTTACAGCTTTCTAAGGAATTCGTCATTGGCCGGCTTCGACTCCAGGCAAGCAGAGAACAGAGCAATTCGCACAAATATTCCCTTACATGTTTAGCTTTCTTCCTGTCTTGCGAACTAGAGCTATGTGGCGTCCTGTGCCTAGGCCACAGGAAAGAGATGACGATTCTTAGACTCTTTTTTGATATATGCGGCGTGCACTGGGAGATGCCGGCCACGTAAATACTGGGCTGCGTAACTCGGTTTGTTGAGGGCTTTGAGTTGTCGCTAGGTCTCCGGGAATGCAGAGCGACAGCAGTCTTGTGTTTGTATGTTCCAGGCAGCAAATTTGGTAGAGGCGCGTCGTCTGAAGAAGGAAGCGCGCAAAAGGAGAAAGGACCTGAGCAAGCCCTTTATTGCTGAACATACACAGAAGGCAGCGCCAAGGCCGGTGAAGACCACAACAGCACAGGTTCCTCTGACGCAGCAGGAACAGCTGGAAGGGGCACAGACTACGGAGAGCCCCGTGACGAGAGCTGTGGAACGATGGGGCTCGCTTCTGAGTGGAGATGTCATGAAAGAAAGGAATGTTACGAGTAGTTTCAGCGCCTTTGGCGATGCGCCCCTCATGGGAAGTGGAAATGGGGACATCACGGAAGATACGGCTGATGGGGATGCAGTGAGCGAGCCACCCACACCTCTATCCGACCACCTGTACGCTGAAACTGCCGCAGATCAAGTGACTGGAATCGAACATCATACGGGGGAGATTCGAAGAGCTACGGACAACAACTCGCTGAGCCCTTCCCTCGCCGCCGCAGTAAACAGGGCAGCAGGGGCGCTACCGCTTTCTGGTTTGGCTTACGCAGAAGCGCTTATAAGCGACTTACTGCCGGCTCCTTCGCTCATATTTTCGCGTGCAGAGGGCCGTTCGAAACGGCATGGAGTGAATGGCGAAGAGTCAACGTCCGGTGTGTTTTCCAATGGAAAGACGACCGAAGGCGATGAGCAAGTTCTGTCGACACGAGGCGACCTGCCTTCACCTCCTCAGAGCGTCTGCATCACCGTGAAGCCGAATATTTCGGACTGGACTAGCTCGGTATATCACGAGGTCCGCTTTGGAAGGTCACATGACGTTGCTGCTGATTCTCATGCAGGCATGGAGAGTAAGAAGTCTCGAATATTTACCCTAAAGGGCTGCGACGACTGGGATCCTTCCCTAAGGCCTCCTCGGTCGGTTTTGTCATCTGCAGTCCCTCCTCTTGGTCCAAACCATGCACAAGAGAGTCTACAGGAGTGCAAGAAAAATAGCATCACCACAACAGTAGAGCATCACGATAGCCATCATTTGAAACCAGCGGGCAAGCGGTTGCTGGACCTCCTACACGACAGTGATTGGCGTACGCGGCGCCTCAGTCGCATTGCTGCGGAAATCGATATGGGGCTCTGCAGAGATGAGGAGGCGGAAATCAGCGTTTCTAGTCCTCATTTCGCGCCAATTGACAGTGACAACAGGAGACATACAGCAGCACATCTTCGCCTGCCACAAGGCAACCCAACAAAAGCAACAGCAACTGAAAAAAGACCACACGCCTTCCCAGATTTAGGGGCTGTTGTAAGCGCCCAAGAACAGCAACAGGAATGTCGAAAGCAGCACAACGCTAGCATGAGCGAACGTATTTGGTCAAGGCAGTGGCAACCCAAGGGCCGGTTAGGAGCCGCAGCTGTGCTAGATTCAGAGTCTCTTGCAGCAGAGGCACTTGGACAAAGCACAGCGCAGTTAAAAGGTCGCACAGAGTACCCTCCGGACCCATCACACTATAAAGGAATCTACGAACTTGACATGCACCGCTGCTATAACAAGAAATGGCGTTGCGAGCTTGTTCCAGTAGGTGCGTTCGTTCTACTTATTCTGTCTGAGGTGCCTCCGGCCCTTTTTCTACGGGCAGTCGTGACTGCCAGAGGATACTGCAGCAGAATCTCGGTGGTGGCCGACTACTCGCGGGTTTGTTGGTGTTTGCAAATTTCACAGGAGACGCTCCTCAATATGAAAAACTGAATGCCGACCGAAGACAACGGCAACAAAATAAAGGAGATGATCATACAAACACAACAGGTACGCCGCCCTTAAGGAAATGATGATGCGCCTTTTCCTCAATATCCCGATTATCCTTTATCCTGTCTCAATCGCAACGCCTAGTTGCTTCATTTGCGTTGGTTCTCTAGAGAACAGACTTGAAGCTGGCGTCAAGTTGATATAAGTGGTCTGCTGTGGCGTTCCATAGGGCGTAAGAAAGTTTTCCGCATCCCGGATGACTACATAACTACTCGCGAGGACAGGTGCAAGGCAGTTACAAACAGGCTGGCCCTTGAAATCCGCTTACAGAGAGCTGAATCCCACAGGTCGTCGGATACTCTCAAACCGCACGAGGAAGGGAATCGAAGCGCTGCTGCTTTGGTCTTGTCTGCGGCTCAACGGCGTCAGGAAGGTCGGCTGAAGGAGCTTGCATCAGATGCCTTCAGAAGGAGAGGCCGTTCTAAAGAAATGACGTGGGATGCCGCCTACAAGAAGTGGACTCGTTGGGCAAGAGCAAATCCAGGCCTCGCCAGGTAAAAATAATTGTTTGATTAAGAGGTGAAGGCATACAGGTAGCGAAATTCTTCATCCCCTTCCGTAAGGCGCTACAGCGAAACCTGCCGTCACAGGTACGGCGTATCCGATTGAAGCGCGGCTAATTGTTGTAGCAGTGCAGGCGGGCATCTGGCCCTCAAAGAACGGCATATATTGACATGCGTTTCGACGGTATTCTGTGAGTAGGGAAGCGCCGCGACCGTCCAAAGCTCAGCTGTTCGAAGCCTTTCGGTGGGCCCCATTGTCGATGCAACTTAATCACTGGCTCATCCATACAGACATAATTGGCCCAGTGCTGCGGCCTGCTCCAGCGCGTTGTCTGTAGAGCTGCTTTGCCTGACCCTACTACACAGTCCCTCTTTAACGACAGCATGATGCTAGCTCTTGCCAATTGCAAGTGAAGCGACCCAACCTTCTGTTTCTGACCTGCTTGTCTGAGTTCGCTGCTGTGCTCAGGCGCAAAATGGAGAAAGCGAACATGAGACGCACTAAGCTCAAGAGAAACTCTGTTGTTAACTTGGTCAGCAGCAAGGATCAGAAGTTAAGATCAAACGTTTAAATCCGCCGGCAGGCCACGAAGGAAGCACAGCAGGTGCCAAAACTAGCTACAGCCTCTGCAGATGGAGTGAACTACGGTGCAGGGACTCAAGTTCTCCTGTTGCCACGTGCCACCCTGGTTCTCGCCGTACAGGCCATGTTCCCTTGACAGGGCAAGTCGCCAGCGGCACTGAACTGATGACTAGCAATGAGCTCTACTATAACTAAAGCCGTAGATAGAACTACATGATTATGCCTGCGCATTCGAGGAAGTGGGGAGTACACGTGCAGCCCAAACATACTCCAGACAACTGTCCCGTATAAATGGCCAAGCAGTTGCTTTTAAAGGCCTGACGATTGGCACTCGGCTGGCGTTCCGAATGGAGGCCAGCTGTGTTGCCATGCAGCTCGCCCGACCAATAAAACATTGAACAGTTTTGTGGTGACAGAGTCTTAATCCTGATAAAACTTTGATGGCGTCCCTCCCCATCCACAAGACCCCAGAACCCTGCGTGATAGTGCAAGGTTTGGACTATCCAAACCTTTGCTGTGTCCACTCTCTGGAGGAGGAGGACAGCAAGTCATCGCGCTGCGCCTCAGGTGAGTTGTCACTGTCAATGGCCTCGAAGCCATCCGCCGCTCAACTTGACATCGCGGTGTCGCGCTTCATGCAACCGGACGAAGTACCCCAAACTCAGGCAACGGCAGGTCAGGCCTCTGCCACCGTTGTGCGTGAAAAATTGAGACATGCATGCCTCGACGAGGACACAAAGTCACGGAGCCTTCAAAAGAACCGTTTACTTCGTAGCGGCCTGGCCATATGCTGCTTTGAATGCTTCCACAATTTCCTCGGAAATCCCAACGTGAATGTCCTGCAGTTCGTGACCTTCGAGACCTGTGACACGCACTCTGGAGATTTTACATTCTGGCAAAGTGAAGCTGTGCATGCGTGTTTCGTAATTGCCGCTAACGTCTTCCGCGTTAACGATGACGTGACCTTGGCCCCCAAAGTAAGAAAAGGCCACAACAAGTTGGCCACCGTCTGCGCGGAGTGTTTCTTGACCGTCTAGTATAAACTTGTTCGACGAGTCTCCCGGAACATTCACCTGGACCTTGTTACCACGGAAGTTCACGTAAACCTTTACACAGTCCTTCAGGTCCACGGCAATGTGCATCGGGGACATTGGGGTGGAGAACTTCACTGACCCATTTTCAGGCCATGGCACAGACTTAACTTTGTCTGCAGAAGCCTCTGCTGTCGAGAAAAGCACAGCCAAGATTGCAGAAAATGCCCCGATGCTCTTCATTGTGAAGGCTCGACTGTAAGCTGTGCACACGGTGGAAGAGAGGCGTCAGCAAAGGTTACTGTTGTGGAACCAGAAACTCTGGTTTCACGGGAAATGTTTTCTATAAACGAAACAGTGAAATTGTGCGCTAGTCTGCGACTGAAATGAGTTGATGGAAGGAAAAAACACTGCAAGGGTTGCCGGAACCTCCACCAAGGCGATCATACAGTTCGCGTCATTCCACACTTCCCAAAGATAGCAGCCAAATTAAGCAAGGAAAAATTGAAACATAAATGAAGAGTTTGAAGCTTCTTGCAAAATGGAAGGTAAAGTTCCTGTGGAAGCAATGAAAAGCAGGTTAGCAGATGTGGCCTTCCGAGAGCTCGTTGGCTAGCGCTAGCCCAGATGTATCATGAAATGGCCATGTGACGCACAACACCAAGCATTGCAATTAATTGTAAAGGAAAAAAGGATTCTAATCTTTTCCTCAGATATTCGGGTCTGCTTGAGTGGACTGCTTTTGTTCATCCACGTGCGTAGCATCCACAAAAGATCGTTCGCACTAGTGCTCGCCACCTGTGTGGAGCCTGCGATTTGCTATTTTTTGTTTGTGATTTTTTGTGGATGCTGCAACATACACAGGGAGATCCTGCTTCAAAGCGGTTAGTCTAACAGTCTTTCACACATACTTCAGCTTTTGTAGCTGCCGGCTATACGCTATCTTTTGTGGCTGCTGGCCCTCCACTCTCGAGTATTTGGGATGCAGCGGCTTGGCGACGGTCGTATTGACTGTTCCGGTCAAGGCAGTATTCATGCCAGAAATACGCTTAGTTTTAATCTGTATGATCAAACGTGAGTACTTCAAAGGTTTCTTCCGTTGTGCAGTGCCTACTCGCAGTAGGGAACTGAGTCCTCTCAGTTTTAGCAATAAACTAATTCATGCTTTAAGGCAACACTTCGTGAAAAAGATCACGTTTCGCAAGTTATTTAAATGTGTGAGTGTTTATAACTAATAAGCCGTTATAGAAGGTTGCCAATGAGCAGAGTAATTCAGCTGGAACCCTTTGGAACTGCGTATTTGAACCGATGAATCTGTACCCATCCCTGCGCGTTTCCAGATAAGCAATTGCTGAAGACTGGGTCCATGACAAAAGTCAGCGCCTTCTCTTGTCCCGAACCTTCGGCGCAATTTTATTTTGAGTTTAAGCCCGGTGACACTGCAAGCCGGGCCATTGGGCAGCCGCCAGAACACTGGTGGCGGAGCGGCTGCAGGCTTGTTGCTTTCTCGCCTCAGCCTAAAAATTCAGCTGTGCATTTCGTGGTTCCCAAATCCCATATAGGCGCGTCGAAACATACAAGACCGAACACGCCGTTTGTTCACGCTCGCTGTGGTCGCTGAGTACAGGCGCCCTCCAAAGCCCGCGCCTGCAAGTTTGCAAGACACAAGTGAATCCACGTTACCTTTGATACGATTACGTACGTATAATGCGGTGCTGTGCTCGGATTCTGAACAGCTCCGCCAACGGCCTAATGGCCGCGTATACCACTATAGAAACTGAGCCTCAGTTCAACTTTGTATGTAGTTCTCCCACAAGAAGCACTGCATGGCTTTCCAAACGGAAACAACGTCGGCTTCAAGACAGATTCTCTCATTAGCCAGAAGTATCCTGTTGCAGGAACTGCCTCACACAAAAGTTAGCTCGTGTATATTGATCCACGCCCACCTGCTCAGGTGAGAGGGTTGCGATAGAAGCTGCTTTAGAGGTTTCAACAATAGCTACTAAATTGCACGCTAATGAATCGAGCTGCTATGCTCCTGTGGGAAGCAGTAGCCTGTATCCTCGCCTTCCGCGTGCACCCTTTAAAAATTGCCCACAGAGCAGATAAGTGACTACCTTCGGCTGCCTTCGGCTGCCCTGGTTGGGGAGGTCGATGAAGAGTCCAGGACGCAACCGCTACGGCGTCCTAATAGTGTGGCAACCGACCTACACTAAGCGCTGCCTTATTTTCAGTTAATGGAGGCCTGGCGCGCTGAGCACTTCTTTTCTGTTATGCCTTGGCAAGTGATATCCGAGTCTGCCTCTCGCAAGTGCTTTGCTGCAAACACATTAGATAAGCTGCGCGAATGAACATGTATGCCGTGGCTATCTAGAAAGCCAAAAGTGCTAAACGAAACCCTTTTGGGTCGGCTTGATACATATTCGAAGTGGAAATCGGCAAGTATGTAAATGCCTGTGCCGTCGCTTGAGGTGCCTTCCAAGACTACAGGACCCGTCTTCAAGCACTTTCCCTAGCTATTTTGTGGCATTACGACTACTGTAGTACGCTAAGCCAGTAGTTTTTCACCGGGAAATTGACAACTTAGGATTCATCGTGTGTTCGCGGGACGTACTGTGCATTCAAGCGTAGACCATGCTAATCTAAAGCTTCCTTCAGTCTATATGGGACTCACCGCTACTATTTTTGACTCGCTAGAAGCTTTGCCAGGAAAGCGCATGTAGTGAGCTGGGCAGCTTGGCTCCTACGTGAACCTATGTATGCAGAGGAGGAGAGACGCGTAGGTACCCTGCTGGAGTAAGCTTATTCCACCACATGCACTCGAATGATGAACGTCTGAGCATGCAGTTTTATGAAAGCACACTTCCCTTCCCTTCTTTCTGCAAGCGGCTACTCTTCTGCGGCAACAGAATAGACTGTGAAGCCGAGCCATACTAACGCTTCAGAGAATCCTACGAAGGTACTGCAGAACATGAAGAGAAAATGGAAGCGGAGAACGTTAGCAAGCTAGCTATAGAGGGACATACCCAAACCACTGTGAGAAGACAGGGATCCGGCTTTCGCAGCTGGCCGCCTACGCCGATGCAAGTGGCGGCGCCATACTCGCAATTCTGTAGGGCAATTAGTGAGATGTTGATGAGGCTCCCATGCAGCCTCGTCGTCAGGGATGCCCCGCCACTTCACTAGGTTGACAATTTTGTCTTTCTTAGTTGTCTAATCCAAGACGTAGTCAACTTCCTCCTGGGTACTTGGGTAACCTGCTGCAGCTCGCACCGGCATCCAACCAACAGCTCTGTTTTTTAGTAACATGTAGGTGTCGCGGGGGCGGTGAGGCACTGCAGCCATTCCACACCGCTGATATGCTTTGTAATGGTGAACGGGCCGTGGTAACGAGTTGCAAACATAGAGCATCTACTGAAAGCGGGTAAGTGATTGCTGCTGAGCGGCGCCTTGATACTGCCGGCTCGTTAAGGCACACCCTTGCACGCCTAATAACAAGACTATTCCAGCAATTCTGTAACTGGCCTCACAGCGCACAGTCACGCTTTATCAAAAACATGGCAATAGGAGGCAGGCACTGGCTCCAAACAGCGCGCTGTTGAGTGCCCCATGGGGGACAAGTAGGAGGGTTCTGAGGCAGCATGACGTCACATGAAGACCTAAAAACTGAAAAATTGCTCCAGGGGACGGCGTGTGCGGAACAGGCGTGATTCAGGGAGTGCTGGCCTATGGAGCCTTGTGCTTCGGAGCATCAGGAGGTTGTTGCACACTACGGGCTATCGGCGCACACAAAGCACCCGAAGAGATGCTTGCGATTTACATGTAATCCCCTCAGTTTCACCGATTCCTGTAAGCCGGCTGTCGGTATTCACTCGCGGGCGCAGCAAAACTCTGCGGCATGACTGCAGCTCCTGAAGGGTCACTACATGCAGACGGATAACCCATCCGTCCCCTAGTTATGCATACCTTGCACGTATGTAGCTCAGGGCATACAATTTTGTTTGAGAGCCAAGCCAGCAGCGGTGCAACCACGAAATGGGTTTGTATCGTGCTCAAACAGTTCAAAACGTCCGCAAACGTCCGCGAGGCGCACAAATAGAAAAACCACCTCGAGCCTATTCATTGTATGCGTGAGGAATTCGCTGTCTCTTGCGTGTGGAGTGCGAGCAGGTCCCGTAGCATTCGGCACATTGGGACCTTGCAAGATTGCTTACTTGATAACACCAAGTTAAGGTCATGTGGACGCTTTGATAGTAGCCCTGTAGGTAAATTGCCCGGGAACACAGCTTGTTCTCTGAGCAGCTCAAACGCCTGCAGGGGTAACCCCTGTTATTTGTCAGATGGTACCCGATATTCAAACTCAGTGTAACCCAGGCTGGCGGTGGCCCAAGGATACTCTTCTTTGTCAGCCTCGCCTTCTCGAGAGGCTATGGAGATGCACGGATGAACTGAAGGTTTCTCACTGCATTGCTCTGCTAACGAGCACACGAGTGGCTCTTTATGTTCCTCGCACAAGTCAGTCATGGACAGTGTGCCCACATTTGGTAAAGCGATCACGGCCTTAAGTTTCCCTATTGAACTCGATACGTGTCTCCTGGTGGCGTGGGCATAGCGTGGCTGCTCGTTTGTAGGCACCCTGGCCATAATTTTATGGTGTTCCTTTCATAGTTTGTTGGGCGATGGGAGGGGCAGAAGAGTATAGTCATCTGTACAGCAGTCACCTAGAACATCTGTTGGGCCAGCATATTGTCAGCTCAGGTGGGAACTGGTACTGCGCTCTGTCCTGCTCTTTGTATCTTACGTTGTTTTGTTCGGTAGGTCTCAAAATCAATCATTCAGTTAAATTCGTAGCTTACTGAAGTACAATTGCCAGGCCAAGTTATGGGCCATTTGCAAGTGTAGTCCTACGTCAATGTCTCAAGGCAAAGACCTCAGGAAGGCGCTCCCCTCTAGTCATTTACTCCCACAGAGCATAGACAGAAGCGTCACTACGCGGCGAGTAAGCAGGGGCTCTTTATTAGCAACGATGAAATGGAAGGCTTTCCCTATACAGTATTCTCAGCCGCCTCACTGTGATCGGGCTAAAGAATATGTGCAGCACGCTCCCTGTCCAGAAGCTACCAACACCCATGCCCGACCATCTCAACGACTAGAACTTTTATCTTTGCGGTGCTGCACAGTAGCCACCCGCAACTGTTCCGCCAATTCCGTAACTAGTTGGGCGCTCCACCAATGCTGCGTAT